TGGTGAGTACATTTAGTTTTAAGACTGTTGTACGCTAGACAAAGTTATCAGCCCTGTTAAAATGACACTTAAGGCGAATTACAGATGCACCTAGCTAAGCAAGCTAGCTGAGTGCATAAACGCCCGTTAACCCGACTCGACAGCCAAACTCGAGGCCTCAAAATGGCAGTCCACAAACCAACGGGTGATGTCACGATGGCTACGTCCACAGCTTATATACAGTCTGTTGTTTTACCTTAAATATTACTCACATGAGTGAAACATAAAATGTGAATGAAATTGCATTATAAGGAAGCCCAAGTCAGCAAAAATGTGTACAAAGTAATGTGAAGGTGTGAAGATTTGTATCTGCCTAACATACACAGTTATATGCCTAACTTTGTTTGTGAGCTTTCCGATAATCAGAGAACCCATTATGTTTATTTTAGAAGAAGATATCTGTGTCCATGGTAATAAAGTCATAATGTATATGTGTATGTTCATACAAAAATAAAGCAGCAAAATAATTCAAGTTGTGTTGCCACCATGTTGACATATATTCACCACACATGTACATGAACAAAAATACTTCGAAGGTTTGTCCAACATCCTACTGTGTGATAACAGAACAAAAGAGAGAAAAAAGGATTTGGGTCATACATTCAGAGGGAAACAGCATCCAGAGCCACACCCAGCATTTTGTGTCCACATCGCTTTCACCCAACCTCAGTCTTAAACCAAACACTGCCACTGAAGGCTTTTTATTGCTGTCTCATTCTGGCTTCTTGTAGTGATTGTGTATGTGTATATCACTCCTCCCTCGCACTGCTATATCTTGGTTTCTTGTCAGTGTGTGTCAGTGTGTGTGTGTCCTTTCTCTGTTTCATTTCAGCTTGTGTGACCCCTATCTATGTTCCTGTCAGCCTCTTTTTGGTTTACTCTATGCTTTTGTGCACGGTAAATCAATCTTTGCTTTTGCTGCTTCATTTGAACTGCTTGTTGACTCGTGTGTGTTTATATGTGCATGTATGTTATGTGAGGGCACACACACACACACGCACGCACACACACACATACACACCCCTCTACCCCCTCTGTGTCTTTGCTCTGTAATAAGAGCAGCTGTGGTTGACGTGAGGCCAGCTCTGATTCAATTGCAGTGCAGGACTTAAGGCTATTATCCTCTGTATTGGAGGAGGAGGGAAGGCTGCTGTAGCACAGCTGCTAACACCAGGTCTGATGCTGCTTTCTAAAAAGGACTGAGACCCCCTTTACACCTCACATTAAAATGTGTCTTATATCCAGATTGTTTGTAGATATGATTCTAACCTGACAGACTGCGACAAGTACATATTTCTACCTACATAGTTGTTGCAGGGCCAGCTCAAGCCATTTTGCAGCCCTAGCCCCACCCCTCCCCCATCATCCTGCATGCAAATTTGACTTAATTTATTGATATATTTCAATATTGCACTTCCTACTACGTGCTAAATGGCTCATGCCAGCCAGAAAGCTAATGTGCACAGTCACCATGACAATGGAATATTGGCCTCTTGCCTAAGTTATGACTTTACCTCCAAAAAGCTTCTGCCCCAAGTAATCATGTAAAACAGCTGATTTAGCCACATCCAAACGACTGTCTTCATTTTAAAATGGAGCTTTAAAACGAAAATGATCGTCGTCAATACAGTATTTTAGCTTCATATCCGATTTCATCTCGTCTGTACTAAAACGACTGAAAATGTCATCAAGACCATTCACACATAACACATGACCATTCATGTACACTGGGCATGCATGTGCCGATGTAAACAGGAAGCAGATTGTCTACTCCGCAGTTGCAGTAAAAGCTGCAAGCAAAGACATCAAGGTCAGTAACGCTTGTAATTCGTTATCCATTTTGCATTCGCTACTGTTAGTCCAGGCTTATGTTGTACGTTTTCTTCCCGGGGAGGGGTCATGTGAGAGGAGCCTGACGAATCAGGGTAGGATTCGGCATGACCCAATCAGGAAGCCAAATGTGAGTGTCCGCCTCATCGTTTTTAAAGTCTTTCAACAAAAACAGGGTCAGCAGTGTTTAGTAAACAACATAGCAAGAGAAGATGTAGTAGTGTGGATGTAGCCTTAGTTACAAATGAGCTAGAAGTTACTAAGCTTTAACTGTATTTTAGACCGTACACATAGCTGCAAGTAAACACACTATTGATATAGTGTTACAGCCATTAACACTGACATTTGTCAGCATTGCCTTATATTCTAGGAAAGTACAGTTATCCAGACAGCTGGCTAGCCATTGAGATTCCTATCATTCAATATCATCTGAGTCTAGCAGATGCCAGAGATGGAAAGAGTAACTTATTATTAGGCTATCCTCAAGTAAATGCTCCGTATTTGTATAGCGCCTTTCTAGTCTTTTCGATCACTCAAAGTGCTTTTTACACCAGTCACACACATCCAGGGGCAACATCTTGCCCACTTCAACATGCAACGACTGCCGGGGATTGAACCGCCGACCTTCCAATTAACAGCCAACGCGCTCTATCTCCTGAGCCGCCTGTACTGTTACTTTTACTCTAAGTACTAATTTTACTCAAGTAAAAGTATAGTACTATTTGTGTAAAAAAACTCAGATAAAAGTTAAAATGTACTCTGAGTAAACTTTACTGTGTTGCATTTTGGAAATTATTTGTGATATATATGATTCTACTGTTAAATTGAAGAACACAGCATACCACTGCATTAAATCCCAATCCAAAAACACTGGTGGAACAACATCACAGCCACCTTCCGATTGCAATCCAATCATGCAAGATGCATTTTTAGTAGGAAATTTCTACATCAGATATGGAAAATGCAAATTAACAGTAGAATTTCATGCAGGAAACTTATGCCAGGAAATACTCAGATTTGAAAACTGAACATCCCCAGGACAAAATATTATTTTATCTTAAAAGGTGGTGTATGGTTGTTACAATAAAGACATGTAAACATCTAAACCAGTACTGGTGTGATAACAGTTCACATTTTCTGGTTCGCCCTCTTTTTTAAAAAAACAATTTGATATTCTGGATTTGGACTGTTAATTTTGTCAATGAAAAATGTGACAAAAAATGTGATGACGACCTAAAAACAACAACTATGACTAAATGTAGGCTATTATATTTTTGCCAACAAATAAAAATGAAACAATAATGTGAAAGATGGACGGGTAACAAATTAGTACAGTCTTATACAACAACCTTGTGTGGATTCACTGTAGATCTTGATTAACATTAGCTAATCTTACTCACTCTTGGAATGAAAAAGGGAGCAGATATGCAGACAGCGGTATCTACAGAAGTAGAGAAAGAAAGTATTTAAGTTTTAAGTCAAGTGTGTAACATTTGTTTAAGTTGCAAAACCTTGATTTAGTGGCTTGTTAGTTAGATTAGTTAGACAGTGTACTCGATGTTTGGATAATCTAAAGGACATCTTTAGGAAGCTAGGCTAGTTATCTTTTAGCAAGGCTGTTGTATCTATGTTAACTTATTTTCAACATTATGCTTTGATTTAACTACTGCCTTATTTATGTGGTATAAAAAACACAGTTACTAACATGTTGGTGCATCATAATAGATTTTTCAATTTCGGGTCCGAAAAAATCTGAAAATTAGCTTCAGGCTAGTTGAGGCTAGCTGGAGCGCAGTTAAAGATAGCACATGCTCACAGCTAGTGCATGCCAACATGATCAAAGGCTGTGGATGTAATGTTAACGTTGCTATCCTATCATCTGTTGGCTATCATCAGTGTTTCTATCTTGAGTTCAGGATTCATGTAGGCTGGCAACCAAAGTAAATGTTTGCTAATGGAATATCACTGGGTTAATGTTAACCAATATCTTAGCTGCTCCTCCCAAGCTAAACCCACACAGTAAACAATATTTTGGTGAACGATCAGGCTTTGCAAAAGACAACACGTGTAACCATGGTGAAAGCACAACAAACATGGTGACAGCTGGAGTCTTGGGATTCTCAGAAGACATCCACATTTAAAATGACCAAAAATTTACTTACACGAATTCCACAAAAGTAGCAACAACCTAAAATGTGGCTAAAACAAATCACAGTTGTGCAACTAAATCAAAATCAGGTGCCAAAATGAACACTGGTGACATTTTTCCTCTTAAATTTAAATTTCCCTTGCCACCAGTGACACACTCCTACACACTTTATTGTGTTAATTGCAGGCCACTGTAGCTCGGGGCATCATGACATTGTCTGTTCGATAGGGAATAGTATTTTTTCTCCCCTGTGTTTTTGAGTTGTGCCACTGGAATGCCTAGAGGATGTAATTACGACCTACTGTACGAGCTGGGAATTTCCCACGTCTGATTTGAATTGAAGACAGCATCGTTCTTAGACAGCCAAGAGTGGCAAAGACAAAAATGGTTAAGGAAAGTAATTAAGGGGAAAAGAAAAGAGAGCAGAGACTGACGGATGTGTAGCAGAATTAGAAGGGAATTGTGGTGAGAGAGGTGGAAGGACAGGGAAGAGAAGAGATTTTTTTAAATGAGTTGATGCAGCAAAGGAGGCAGGAAGAAAATAAGAAAGAAAGCAGAGGAAGGATGGAGAGAAAAGAGTGATTAAGGAAAGGAAGTGGAGACAAGCTGAGGACCTCTACAGCTTAATTATATGCAGAACACCCAACCCCCCCTCCTTATTTTTTTTTCTCCTTTACGAACATGCAGATCCTTATTAAAAATCACTCAGTGCAGAACAGGACACTTAAAACCAGGCATCTGTTAGCTGGTCAGGTCTGTGCTCTGCCGGTGAGAGACCCTGCCCAAAAACCTTGTCATCCATCTACCCTAGGCTGATGTACCGCTATGAATAATGTAACAGGGACGGGTGGAGGCCACTGGGCGTGTGCGCAGGAAAAGAAAAGGGGTAGTTCCTCCTCCTCCTTCACCACCCTCATCTCTTTCCATTCTCCTCCCCTCCCCTGTTCACCCAACCCCCTAGCTGCCGGCTGCACTGCAGAAGGTCAGAAGGAGAAGAAGAGGAGAGAGGCAAAGACCCAGAAAGGCAGAGGGAAAGACAGGGGTGGGGTGCTTGGATGTTCATGAACATGCCGAGAGGAGAGCGTGTGGATGAGCGATGACAGCCATGCTAAGCCCAAAGATCAGACAGACCAGGAGAGGTAGGACACGTTTTTTTTTGCTCTGCCTTCACATCTACAATACCTGCCAGCTGCACTAGCCCCTTATTCATCTATAAACTATGTGGTGACATATTATGTCATATCTGACAGGGACTATGATGGGAGTTTATCAGATCAGAGGATGTATTAGTGATGTAGTGGCTTTATCTGGACATTTTCCTACACTTTCTCAAATACATTGCATTTTTAAAAGTTCTTTTTTTTGCCTATAATTCAGATTTTACTCAAGAAGATGTCTATAGAAACACTTTTTTCTCCACTCCATCTATTTTTCTGCTGCAGCCGCATATTACTGAATGAAACGGAAAGTCTGCCCACGCAGGGAAGCTCTCGCGTACATTAGCATTCTACTACAGCTGGCCGATGCTGCCAGTGTGAATTCTATTAAGAGGAGCAAGCAGCATCTCTAGTTTCATCACTGTAACGCTCAGCATTATCACGCTGCCGTCAGCTGCTGCTGCCGAGTGTGTGTATGTGTGTGTGCTCACACTATTACATGTACTGTATGTGTGTGTGTCTTCGTGGGTGGATGTATTAATATGTCCATGTGTACCAGTGTGTGTCCTTCCTTCCTTGGCACTAATCTCCATGACTGCAATTATACAGCTGGATCTGATTAAGAGGAAATGAATAGCTCCCAAGAATGGGAGAGTGATGTGTATGAAATTGGCAGCAAAGTGGATTAAATCTGTGTTCGCATATATTAAAACAGCAGAACAGATTCAACTGGCCTGAGGAGTAAAGTGTGATTCACTGTACATCTTGTCAACTATATCTTAATTGATTACATACCGTTTAGGCAAAATCAAGTAATTTTAACCAACGTGATGTTTTAGCACTAGTAGCATGAAGTGAGAAAGGAGGACTCAAATACAGAAAACTTAATAAAAATGCAAAATGCAGCAGTCTTGTTACATTTGAGGAGGTGGAAATACCACTCGTCCTTGCGTTTCTGTTAAGACAGTGGAAAATTGAAGAGATTAAAGCGACTGTGTGATTCTGCGTGAGAAGCATTCTCTGCATGTCCTCTGTAAATCAGCGCTCCGCCGCTGACGGCATCACATTTGTTGCATGAAGCCCATGAATAAACGGGTATGTGACAGATGTAGCAGTGTAGTACAGGGTCAGCTGAGGTTAAAGTAGGTTGAGAAGGCGACACCACGCTAACAAGTGAACAAATCTGACTGGCAAGCTAGAATGTCAAGGATGACACTCAAAATATGAATCAATAATATAAACGTGATTGACTTATATTCTATTGATCATTCATGGCTGCTGCATTCATGATGCGAGAAGGTCAGTCGACAAGCTAACTAGCAAGATATAAGCTGGCACGTTTGACTTTGGAAGGTCATTTAACAACTTCTTCTAATCTAAAATGGCTAAATTGCATTGACTATTCAATTAATAGACCACAAAGTTAACAAGGTCTCACTAAGTTGTCCTCCTCTTCTCTTGCCTCTTTAGTCAAAGAGCTCCACTTAAAAGAATTCTTCAATATTCTGGGAAATACTTTCTTAGCATTAAGAGTTAGATGAGAAGATTGTCTGTACGCTAAATATGAAGCTAGAGCCAGGAGACGGTTAACTTAGCTTAACATAAAGACTGGAAGTTGGGGGCACCTCTAAAGCTCCCTGATTGGCACATTGTATTTTGTTTATTTTTTCCATGCAAAACTTGTACTTTAATTTTTCTTTGGATAGGGTCCAGTGAGGTTCTCCAATCATAGACCGTAATGCAATACAATCAAGCTCACTAACATCTCCCCATTGCTCCTAACTGCCTTCTTATGATGAACTCAGAAAGATACAATAAATGAGATCTCTTCCATTTCTCCTATTGTAATCTCAATTCAGTATCCATTTGTCTTACCCAAGTCTCAAAAACTCAATCTCTCCTTATCTCATCTTTTCTCCAAAGGGGGTTTTAGGAGCAACAATTCAAACTGAAGTGATCTCAAAAAAAGATACAGTTGAGATATAAGTGCTTTCTCAAGAGTTAAAAAAAAAACTATTCTGAGCAAAAGATTTTTCCTTTGGGTAGCTGTTTCCACCTATGCGCTGTCTTTGTGCAAATCTAAGCTAATCCTCTGCTGGCTCTAGCCTCATATTCAATGTACAGACGTGAGAGTAGAATAAATTTTCCCATTTAACAAATAAAAGGCAAAAAAGCTTATTTCCCAAAATGTCTTCTTAAACATTATTCACCCAACTAATTATTTGGATCTGCCCCCTGAGGTCTAATTAAATCAGTGCTTTGGCTTCTTTCAGAGCGACTCTTAGCTCTTAATAGGAAATGCTCAAGTAAAAACTTAATGCCGATATTGCTACCAATCTAGGATGCCAGTGGCCACATTTATTAGAATCAACAATATCTGCTGCATAAAAGAAAAGTCTGACTGCTGTGCTTCAGCAACTGCTACAACGAACGACATATTATAGCTGCAACGGGGTGATTTTTTCTTTGGCTGGCACCAAGAATCTACTAGCAGCTTTAATTGCCCACATATCAGCTGCTTCATTCTCTTGCTGTGTCTTTTTTTATCTGCGTTACCATGGTTTTTATGATCAAAGTCCTGCAGTGTAGCAACACTCTGACGTCCTGCCTTTTCGAGGCATATGAATGAACACCATCACGACTGTGAGCAAGAGCATGCTGCATAGATAAAAAATTCATACACTGACACACTCGGGTAATGAGCATGTGGAGATGATCACATGCGCAGAAATGCACAGATACGCTCACACACCCGCTGCTGCAGATCAGTTCCGCTCCACTGCAGCTTTCACATATGGGCTTTATAGTACTGGCCACACCTCCAGCTTGTCAGGGAAGGCTGGCACACGTGCACACACACACACACATTAATCAGCAGCGATAGGCTAACTGGAAGTTACACACTGATGCACCTGTATCTCTCTTTGTCATTTTCCACGAGCCATAAATCACTACACAACAAGCAGATTAATGAAATTGAATTCCTCCAACATGCCTGCGCGCGTTCTTGTGTGTATGCGCGTGTGTGTATGTGATTTAGCCATCAGTGTAGTATGTCTAGCTATTGGGGAGTACATGCTAATGGATGGGCTCCTCTATGATGTATCCATTTCCTGACGATGATAAATATACCACTGCAAACTGCATTAAGTGACACCATAGGGGCCTAGAGTGTGTGTGCGTGTGTGAATGTGGCATCAAAGTGTCCCTTCATGTGCTACACTGTACCACTTGTGTTTTGATCTTTCAGTCTGCAGACAAGCATTTGTTCACATTGTAACATTTGTCCTTAGATGTAATAGACATAAACTGTTTATGGACGGAGTGCTTTATTTGCATTTCTCATTTGATTTGTCAATTACTGTGACAGGACACCCACCAAAGACAAATGCTGATAGTGTTGGCTCTATTTGCCAAGGTTTTGAGATATTTGTCTTTGATGTTTCATCCTCCACCTGAAGACAGTGGGCGTGAATAGAATTGAGAAGTTCAAATTCAACAGAAAAAATCTTTCCACAGCCAAGTATCTCTAGGAATTACGCATATTGGATGATTCCTCTGCTCACTATTTACATCCAGTGCCCACATTCAGTGACAATGCAGGAAGTTTTGTTCTCTTATGGAGCGAGGCGGACAGTAAGGATTTGGAGGTCAGGGTGGTGGGGGAGAGCACTTTAATTGAACTGCATTAAAAAAATCAGCTGTTCGAGTGAATACACATATGCTGTGGAGACAGTTGCCACAATAAGCTACCGGTTAAAGTGATGGTTTCACCAGAAAGTGGCAGTAGTGAAATTCAACCACACGTCTTTGCGAAATAGGCATTGCTACAGACTTGATTAACAGCCACTACTGTCAGGGCTCATTGGTAAACAACTGTAACTGGCAGGCTAACCCCTAACACACTAGCAAGCAGGTAACATGCTAGTGCTAGTCAGTCACAATAGCTCTCAGAGCTTCTTTCTATTTTCTCTGTACTGTGCCGTTTTACTCTCTTTGTTCGTGAGATTGTATACGAATTAGCTAGCTTAACTGTCACTCAGCCAGCTCTTTAGCCCAGTCTCTAATGGGACATTACATTTTATCAGTTTATTTAAAATATATATTAGTACCACCGACTCTTGTATCATAACTGTCTAAAAAACATGCCTCTTTTGTGGAGCACTTTATGCTCAGGCAGAGGAGATTAAATCAGTCCGAGTTGTGTAACAAGCTTTGATAGCTTCCTCCATTTTGGACTCTCCGGCTCCTTGTTCCCTCAAAGGTCAGCACTGTGAAGATGGCTCACCATCGATAAATAAAGTTCACCAAAGTTTAACTCCATGTGAAAAATTTACAGATTTACTTCGCCCTTATAAGCAATTCTACTGATTACCTATAATTCCTTTCAAAATGTTGCCGTTTTAAATGCTGGGTGTCTGGGCCTGAAATCTGTTTCTCTGTTAGTTCAGCTTTGGCTGTAACATGTAGGTTACATAGTTTTATAAAAACGGTCATCAGAATAGGCGACAGTCTGCTTAGCACAACCCCCTTCCCACCAACACACACACACATTACTGTATGAGCTCATGACTGAATGAGTCACCAATCCATCTGGTACCTGGATATTCAGTTCCGTACACTGAATTGATCATCACTGACTTGAAATAACATGACACATGGACAAATTTACATAAATTACCATTTACCGTTGGGGTTCACGTCATGGTAAAAAAAAATGTGGCCATACTGTACATCAGTGCATGGAGTCGGGCATGATGTTGAATCCCTATTATTTGACTTAGCCCTTCTCCAACTACTAGTCATGTCACAAGATCTTGCAAGATTAAATTGTGACGAGAATTCTCGTTAGTTAAAAAGCTGTCTCGCAAGATTCACGCAAATGACACTTTTCACACGCTGTCAAGCCACACATTCATTTACTCATGCAGTGAAATACAAATGTATAACTGATAAGATAGACTCACAGAGCTAATCAACTCCGCCCAGCTGATGCCCTGATAGTAATAAACCACACCGCTCGCACTGAGTCCAGACAGCTGTGATGAGCGGTAACCTAACCGGTAGAGTTTTGCAAGATAAACATCTAAAAACTGAAGCACAGCCTTGCTCTGTTTGGGACTGTGAGCTGCAATTTGTCAGAGCTGCTGAAGTTAACATGTGTGGATTTGTGGTGAGATTTCTGCCTGATCAGAAGTGTTTCAGTTGCTTTCGGTTTCACATGCAACATGCAGTCCCAAACTGTGTCGGTCAAACAGTCTGAATGGGATAACATTACTACCAGCGGATCAAAAATGTAATGCAAAGCAGAGTATCGGGCAGGTAGACTTCTCATTAAATGATGACGTTAGTCTGGTAATATTATGACTTTTCTCTGGACATGTCAGAGAACACAGATAGCCTATGTGGGAGAGATTCTGAATGTGCAGAAAGTTTTGAACATGAGATGAAAAGCTGCTGAAACACAGGAGCTAAAGTCCAGGAGTTTATAACTAAATTAAATTTATGGTGAAAAGGTGCCACAGTCACATTTAAAGGGTAACTTCCCCAAACAAAAACACAAAGAGGAGGGAAGACTAAATCATGAATCAGCAGTGATGATATAACAGGAGAAAAGTTGATCTACAGGAGAAACAGATCTGACAGCAACACAGAATGACTGAGAGCTGCACTGACTTATATTCTGTTACAGTTATGTTATAGATTTTGAATTGTCACCTGCCTCCTGAATTTTGTGTTTCTCTTTATATTTTCATATAATTCAGCACTAAAGATTTCTTAAAAATAGTGTTAAAATCTTGTCTCGTCTCGTAAACCCAATCTCGAATCTCGAATCTCAATCTCGTCTCGTGGGTTATGTGTCTCGTCACACCCCTACTAACTGCTGTCCACTGTAAATGAATGATCCACAATTACACTCTGTTTGAGTGAGAAAACTCTTTTTAGAATTGTAGTTGATAGTCCAATAGACCACAGAGCAGCCCCACCCAAGCCAAGGAAGTTCTGATTCACTCTGAGCAGAAGGTCCAAATTGGCGCAGTGGGTAGTCGTGCTTGGCGAGCGCACACTCTAAAATCAGTTGTTGTGACTCAGGCGTGAATCATCGGCCAGTATATGTTCCACTCCTGTGATCCAGACAGCTGATGTGTTAAACAGTGGTGCTCTTTTATGCGAACACTGGCAGGGTGATGGTAAGACATGATGGACGTGGTGAGGAAAAATAGAGGGATGAAGGAGGACATGGCAGCGAGGGCTATTTTTAGCTAGCAATTTGATTGAAGGAGTAAGACAGCAAGTCTGGTTTTCTCTGTTGATCACACACACTTTGCATCCATGATGTTAACCAATTAATCTGTACCTGGTGGGTGTTCTCAAACTGGGGAGAAACAGGGTGGTAGGACTTAGATATTGATGGTGATCACACAAGTACAATCTTTAAACTAATTCTAAATTTATGAAGGAGCTGCTTGACAGACACAGGAGTTGGGAAGCCAAGAATAGTATCTTGACAGAAGGTAAAGAGACTAGGGTTTTCTAGTGAAAGACATACACTGTCTGAGCATGATACAGTATATGATGTGATTTGATTGGAGTGTTAAAGTTAGTAATACTCGTGATCGTAGCCGTTGATTGGAGGCAGGAGAGAAGAAATAAACATGAGTGACTCGTACCTTGAAAATTTTACATGGCGAAGTTTGATGCTGTTTTTATTTAAACATACTGTAAGCTGAAATAAACAACTGTAAAGCATTATCCAATTGCAAAAAGCAAATAAGACAGCTTTGCAATGCTTAAAGTGACTCTCAACGACAATGGAAATAGTTATATTTTAAGAATAGCTAATGAAAATATGCATCTAATCCAAGACTGTTTAAATGAGGTGCCTGCCAGTACTGAGAACAAGGATCCCCTTTTGTGTGTGTGTGTGTGTGTGTGTGTGTGTGTGTGTGTGTGTGTGTGTGTGTGTGTGTGTGTGTGTGTGTGTAACGTGCTCTGTATTAACAGAGCTTTGATTCAACAGGACCAGCGGTGCTGAACGTAAGGAGGGAGAGATGAATTAGAGCGAGTCAAAGTAAGAAACATGGAGGGAGATGGGGGGGTGAAAATACACAGCTGGAAAATGGCTGAAGAGAAAGAGAGCATGAGAGGGTAACAATAAAAGGGAGCTTAAAAGCGGTAGGTTTGTCGTGTTTGGTTTTATTAACAGAGCTTTAGCATATGCCACTCAGCCAACCAACTTCTACCATGTTGCAGGTTTTAAACATATGACAAGATGGCCCTAAGTAGCAGGGTCATTAAAGCTGACACTGTAATTGTAGGTTTATTTAATAACCTTTGATTTCTGATGTGAGCAGTTAACAGAGTTCACATTGACACAGTCAGATGAAACCATAATATCAGCCTGGGACCAAGGAATAAAATACAGGTGTGAAAAGACGCATTTTGAGTATGTGTTATGTTTTCATCGCCATTCATTTCACGACAAACCCGGTGACCATTTTCACTTGAAGTATTGAAATGTTCACTGTGATATTTGTTTCACACGTGAAAACTTATTTTCATAAGTCAAAAGGCACAGTTAAATAAACGTTTCACGTATGAAAATCCCACACACAAAAACATGCTTTGGATAAACATGTAGGTTACATAAAAAATTTTAAAAATCTACACCTTTTCTTTAAGAAATAATCAGTCCATCAGTCATTCAACACATCTCAACAGGCTTTACGGACTGCCAGGAAAGGCTGTGATGTGAAATCAAAGTGACGTGAGCCCTGTCCTTTAAGCTATATGTATGCTGGAAAGAGAGAGATGAGACAATAAAAAAGAATAAACATTGATTTTCTCCCCCCCCCCTCATTCATCCATGCCCTTCTTCCCTCTGCACCATTGATCATTTCTGTGTGTGTGTGTGTGTGTGTGTGTGTGTGTGTGTGTGTGTGTGTGTGTGTGTGTGTATGGCACAAGAAAAACACCAGCAGGGAGGATGTCTGCACAATTGATTTCTATAAATTATACATGATCATCAAATAGCATTGCCTTGTTTGCCTGAGCAGAATATAGCCCTCGTGCTAGCTGTGTGGCCCTGTGGGTTTTTCTCATCTGTGTAAGACCCTGAAATCTTCAGTCAGATTTTAACTGTGTAACATAATTTATCCTCAACTGATGACACATGCTTGTATTTCTTGTAGGGAGATATCTCTTGGTAATAGAAAATACCACACCAGAGTCAACATGATACTTGCCAATGGTCTTTTATGTTTACACACATCATGCTTACTGTCATGCTGTCAGTGTAATGCTGATGTAATATTATGAATCATTTTCAAAAATGAAACACGTCACACTTGCATCTATTTTTCTCCCCCCCACAGCTGATGTCATACAAATGGTCCCATCCTATGCCTTTAAATCTGTCCTTGACTGAGCTCAGGTTACACACGTTTGTTGCGAATGATTCAGGCAGCCAGCCAGTCAGTCCCATGAGGTCCTATTATCTCCACTCAAAAGCCTCTGCTATTCTGTTGGGTTGTAGCAACCCACAATAAGTCTCTTCCAAAGACCTCTGAAATGGAAGGGGGGGGGGGGGGTCCCTGTCACCTGAGGCTGTATGTGTGTGTGTGTACTCACTCCCCACCCCCACACCCCTCCGCAGTCTCTATTTCATCTGCTTTCTGTTATTATTTGTGCCTGCTGCCTCTCTGCAGTCCCACTCCCCCTTCCTCTAAAGAAGAGGTGCAGCCTGGGGCAGAAGGTTGTGCGCGTTTGTGAATGAAGAGCCTGGCGGATCATGTGTGCGCATACAGTGTACAGAATGAGGGATAAGACAAGCTTCTGTTGGGAAAAAAAATGAAAAGACATGAGCCAATGAAATGGAGGGAATGTAGTAAAACCTCTTTCACCCACCCGACCCCACACTGTGTGCCTGCTTGTGTATATGCAATATAAATAAAATGCTTTATATGTGTTTGCAGCCAGGTCCAAGAGCATGGTGATGGGCGAGGTGTCGCGGGGTCCGTGCCGTCCGGCCTCCCCCAGCCTCCAGGAGGGGGCGCTGAAGGCTGGTTGGCTGAAGAAGCAGCGCAGTATCATGAAGAACTGGCAGCTTCGCTGGTTTGTGCTGCGCTCAGACCAGCTCTTCTTCTACAAAGACGAGGAAGAAACCAAACCACAGGTAACACTTCAGCCAACATGACGGTGAAAATCAACCCAAGCTGAGTCACTTTTACATAAATACATCACGAGTTCCCTCTCTCCAGAGGATTTTTCTTGGTTGACAACACTAAAAACACATATTTTTGTTCATGTGAGGCTGAGGCATCATTAGCAGCTATGTGTGATGAAAGAAGAAAGAAGATAAATTATCATCTATCAAAAGGAGAATGTGAGAACGTTGGCTGTAGCTCATCAGGTTGGCCATTAATCACAGGAATTGGTGGCTGGCTTGTCAAAGTGCCCTCAAACATGACGCTGAGCCACAGATTTCTCCTGGTGTATTTGTGGACAACAGACATCTGCCAAATACATCCCATTTTGTGATAGCATTATTTCACTGTTAATTGTCTTCTCCCAAATATTTTCCTGTTTTGTAGCGTCCATAACTGCAGTTAAAAGTGAACTCCACTGATTTTACACTTCCAAGTCTGTTTACAGGTTTTAAGAGGGTGTTACTGCATGTGGCATCAATTGCCTAACATGTTAGAAACCTGCAAATAAAGAAAATCTGGGGAAGTGGAGATGTGGATGCTCTGTTGCATGCTTTAAAATAATTCTCTGTGTCACTTTTGCGAAGATGAAAATGATTTGCTGTACATTTTGGGTAAAGTCAGCAGGTTTCCACTAATAGGCCTTTAGCACAGCAGACATTGTGACTTATCACAAGTGTTAGTAATTGCTTAATGATGTTAACTCGAGTGTAAGTCATGACCACAAAAGCAGCACAATATAACAAACGTGACAGCAATGGTACAATTTTAACAGACTAAATATTATCTTAAGTAAGAAACAAATATTGTGAAGTCTAGAAAAGTCACACTTACATAACAGTCAATGGAAGAGCCCAAATTCCATTTCCTACATCAGCAGTTCTCCATGTACAGTAGCTGTTGATATCAGGGCCTCCATTGAAAAGCATTTGAAAAAAAATAAAATTTTAGATGGCGTGCATTGCAAAATGATCCCGGATGAAAATGGCTTAGAGCAAATAGACTAACTACAAATAATACCAGTATTGTTCTTTAAGTAAACTCTACCAACATGGCAATGGTGACTCACCGCACAAACAGGACATTTTAGTGCATTAGTACAAACAGCCGAGCCGCATGTGACGCCTGGTTTCTTCCTCCATTAGTGCACCATCATAAAAATATTTACAGAGTAAACCTTTAATTGATCCAATTGCTTCTTTGACAAGGGAATTCTATTGTGGCCAGGTGCTGACTCACATTTTCCCATTATAATTATCCCATCACTGAAGAGTTCACAGCGCGGTAGCTGGTCTGGACAGACCTCACACACCCACACACACGCAGTCATATAAACAATGCTGGGATGGACAGTCAACATAGCTGACAGGCTTCCATTTATTGTAACATGAGGAAATGATGTAATCCAACAACAAAAGGCATAATAATCATCTCTTTTCATTCCTGGCTTAAATCTCAACACTTTTATTGATTTCTTCAGGCTTCACTCTGGGTGCGCAGCGCACGACTGAAGGCTTTGACAGACTGTCTTTAATCAGAGCTTGCCAATACCCATCCAGCCTACATTGATTGGAAACTCCCAATAGATTCAAGTCACACACGTGGCCTGATGCATACACGCCCACACATATTCACTCAGAGGAATGCACACTCACACACACACATATCCACCAACTCAATGAGCAGGATGTGTTAGAAAGTGTGTCACTCAGGCCCTTTTTTTTTCTCCCTCTCATCTTCTAATCGATAGGAAATCCAACACTGGGAGTGATGGGGTTTTTTGATGGGGGGGGGGGGGGGTGGGGGGGGGGGGGGTGTAGGCAAATTGCAGACCATCCCCCATACCAAGATAAAAAGACTGACACTGAATCTATACAGGTTTTCTTTTCCTTTTCATCATGAGGGGATAAAAATCCACCAGAGAACAAATGAACTTCACTTATTGGACAATAGATTTCTGTTGCTCCAAGACAAATCCATGGGTGGTGGTGGTGGAGGAGGAGGGGATCATTAGTGAACTGAATGCAAAATGAGTTGTCAGCTGCAATTAAATGACCTCAAAAAGGAGCAAAACATAGCTGAGGGGGACTGTAGAGTTGGTTAAATTTCACTTTGGGTTCATCACCGTGAGCGACCCTTTTCACATTACACATATCATTTAATCCATGTTTAATATGAAAATATTAATTAATGCAGGTTTAAATTTGTTGTAAGACTTGGTGTCTTGGGCTGAATATTGCTACATGAAAATTTCTAATGGAAATGTTTTTATTGATGGATCTACAAAGTACATTCAGTCCAAGGGAAAACATTTCCAACTAGGTCCCAGACTTGTATGATGCTTATGATTATGGACTACAATTATAAATAAAGTTCTGTGGGATTGAACGGCTGGTGATGGACATTAACGTTCTCACAGGATAGTGCTTCTGAGCATTGAGTCTGATGTGGTCAGGTTTTGTCAATGATTTACTGCAGCAGCTTTGACCCGGGATCCAGTCTCAGCCCGGGTTTATATGTGAGGAGGCAGCTGTTGCAAGACTCGGTCAGAGCTTCATTGCACGTGTTAAACAAGAGGAGTCTGAGGTGTTTATGTGCCTCAATTTAAGACCTACGCACATGGTACCAATCAATGGACAGTGTGTGATGTTTGTGTGCTTTGGCACTGGTGGACGACGTTGCCAAGGTGAGATGAAAGTGAGAACGAGTCTTCAGAGGCCAGGGCTGGTGTTCTGGTCCAGGACCATGATTGGCATTTATGTGCAAACCAGGTTAAACTGGGCGTGTCCACATCTGTTTGTGGCTAGTTGAAGGCTTATGCCTGCACAGTTTCATATTGATAGCAACAAAACATGAGCTCTACTTCAAAGTTATTCTTCTGCCAAGCTAAGAGGTAAGAAAGGACAATCTGTGGTGTCTGTGCTGCATTTTCGGTTTACACTGCTTGACTGTGTGATTTGTGTTCTTGCATTACGTGTTACCTCTTCTTATTCATTCATCCCTGGCTAGCTACTCCTGTTATTCCGAGCACATAGCTCCCTTGGGAGTACACCCCCCCAACAGTTCCTGCCCTGCCCCTGTACTCCATCCATCCACAGCTCCCACCCCTTCCATTTGTTACCAAGGCGACTAATGTTGGCGACAGCCCGGCCCTCTGGCTGAGGCAATTTGGCGGACTCCTCTCCCCGTGTGATGTAGGATGCCAGTGTGCAGATTAACGGGGCCGACCCACAGATGCTGGCATCTCTTCACAGCTCTCTTGGCCTCAGTTGGGTCTAAATGGGTATTGATTGGGATAATGTATTCTGATAATCTGTGTGGGTCCCTGTTCAATCACAGGAGTAGCTGCTTAACATTTTAGATGGGTTAAAAGTGGAGCCATTGGAAGGAAGGAACAAGGGCAAGAGGAGGACTGGAAGGAAGAAAGGCCAGAAGACACTAAGTGAGAAGGAAGGCAGATTGGCAATATCTAATTGGATTTTTCTGGCCAATATTGCAATTATGATTTAAATTTTAATTATTTTCCAATAATTAAACTAGAGGTCTGCATTTATGGTATACATGGTATTAAACAAGATTACTTTATCTACAAACGTATCTAGCCGCATACTACTCATTGCCACCATACATGGAGATCTTTCGGAACAGCTCATAAAACTTAATACAGATTACTATGTTGAACGCACAAACTCACAGGATGGTACGAAAGCCGGGAAAATAACATCAGGTGGCTATAAATGAACCAAAAACCTGATTTATTCCGATAAAGAAATGTCTGCTATTTTAAAGTCAATACATGTGAAATCCAACATGGCACAGGACATTGCACACTTTAAAACTGTCGTTTTCATGTAAAAAGGTTGTTCAGCCCGAGAACAATGTAAGAAGAGACAAAGGATGAACAGATGATGTCATGAAGAAGCAAAAGAAGAGCCAGGAACATAGATTAAGAGGACAGGGAAGGAGTGGAAAGAAGGAAGGACACAATTACATCTATTTCAGCCCAATATTCAATATTTGAACGCCTCTCTCTCTGTTTCAGGGCTGTATACTTCTGCAGGGATGCCAGGTCAACGAGCTCACAGCTAATCCGGACGAACCAGGAAGACACCTTTTTGAGATTGTACCAGGTGAGAGATCCATTAGCTCTTCCCGTTCCTCCTCCTCCTCTACCACCTTCACTTACCCCTGGTTCAACTGCACTTCTATCTCAAAACACGCACAAATCACATGACTGGCTACAGTGAACATTTCAGTACTTTTTATTTACTTTGATGTTGGTGGTGCACTTGTAAAATCCAGTTAGTATTAGATATTAGATGGATTAGATATTGTCTAGTTGTTATTGTATGCATTACAGTTTTCCGGCTCCTCCTCTTCATCTTTCATTATAGCATATGTTTCAAGTGTACACGTTGCTATGATTATGAATAATCCGGCTCGTGAACTTGATAGCTTCCATGTCTGATGTGAAACATCAATGTGGAAGTGGTGTTTATAAATACAGATCAAATGTGAGTTAAATCAAATGTATCCTAGTATGGTTGGTCATCATATATGACATTACAAAGAACATGTAAGTATGTGTGTAACCGTACTTTCTGGATTGGTAGTGTTCTCCTGTCCTTTGAGCATATAAGCGGCTACAATTTCTTCTTGAATAATCTTCTTTAATCAACACCAAGAGTAGCACTTTTCACTATATTCTGACATCTTGTAACACACTTCTCTGCCCCCCACCCGGAAACACAGCAGGTAGGGACCAAAATAGTCTGCTCTGAACAAAGGGGGAATGCAATAGCATTACACACATAAATTAAATTAATAATATAAGAGTTCAGTGCTACAAATGAAAATGGAATAATGAGTGTCTGTAATATAAACTTCATTCTGTCAACACGTCCAACCAACATTTTGGGATTACTCCTAGTAAAACACAAATCCTACCACGGTCTTATAAGCAACATAGATTAGTATCATTAACTGAAGTAACCCAAATCTATAATGTGTACAGTAACTAAGGTTTCATGAGTATGAAAGAACATTTAGTTAGTAGAAGTTAAAAAATGTAAGAGTCAATCAGTCATACTGTAGGGGTGGTGATGGCACATAGATAAGATGCTTGCCTTTGGTGTGGGAGACCTGGGTTTGATTCCCACACATCCACCATTGTGTCCCTGAGCAAGACACTTAACCCCTAGTTGCTCCAGAGGTGTGCGACCTCTGACATGTATAGCAATTGTAAGTTGCTTTGGATAAAAGCGTCAGCTAAATGAATAAATGTTAATATAAATACATATCAGCCAGTGGTGTTTAATCACAAATGTATGGTTTTCGGTAAATGGTCATGTGGTTTAAGGTCAATCTGTTCCTAAACTGGCCGGGGTGGGCCTAATAATGGATATGGGTGACACCATATTTGATCCAAAAACAGGACAAGTGCTGTATGGTGGGGTACTTTAGCTGTTATAGGAGGCCTTTTCCCACAGTGTGCCTCTTAACTGAGGCATACTTAAAGAAGCACTTTGTGAAGTGCAATATTTATTCACTGGAAGTGTCTAAAAACACACAAAAGCAAATATTAAAATCATACTAGCAATGAGAAATATTATACATCATGTGTTTTCTGATTTGTGATCATGTTCTGTAATCAATCAATTTTTGTGCCTTATCCAACACTGATCTCTGTTTCTAATTACCTTTGTTCTCTGGCTGCTATCCTGTATCCAGACAGCAGAGAGCACTGTTAGCCAAGGATTAGTTGCTGTAGTGGTCGATCTCATTATCTCACGGGACATGACCTCAGAGCTGCTGACATGTGAGGTGCCGGTATTAAATTTCTAGCTCCAATAAAAGAAGCACCAGAAAATAAATAGAAAAGAAAATGGCCTCTTCCATCATCTCAAGCTGCTCTGTGGCCACAGATCTCAGGAGCCCGTCATGCTCCACATGTTGTTGAACCCATACAAAGGGTATGGTTAGATTAACCTCAAATAGCTTTTCGAGTTTTTACTTTATCAATACAACACCTACTTTCATGTGTCTTGATGTGTGTCAGTATGTGTGTAGATGTGGTGTTTTACCCTGACACCACTATTCACCAGCGACATAAGTATAATAGTAAAAGTATAGTTTAAGCTTAAAATCTAGTCCTACAACGGAAACTGCAAGAAGGCAGCTGAGCTCAGTAGGGTCCATCCCTCTGGCTCCCTGTATCACTCTGTCATTCCGCAAGTGTTTGCTTGGAGGTTTCTCCTTGTGTTTAGAATGGCCGACAGGCTCATGAGTCGCTTGTGTGTTTTGTTTATGGCCAGTTAACATAGCAGAGCAGTGAGAACCGCAATGAGTGTGAGTGAGGAAAGCAGTCGTGGAAGTTGGGGCGGGGGTTGCAAAGAGACAGGTAGGACAAAGAGGAGGAGGAAGGTCGAAGGAGGCCAGCACATATGCTTGACATGGAGAGAGATGTGTTTCAGATAAATCTAGTTAGTAAAAGGCTCTAGAGTGGGAAGTTTATTAGTTAGGATCAACAGTAAGAGTCTGATTGTACTTTAGTATGATCCAGATCAGTCTGTATGAGTTACATTCTTCCCCTTTTCAACCCCCCGTGCTGACTATATCTTCTGTTTACGATGGTGTAAATTAGATTTGTTGGCTCCTTGTGGAGAAACACACAAGTTCCTCTGCTCTTTCTCCATTCTGTAATCGGCTTAGATTGATGAAGGCTTTGTCCCCTCCTGAGATTTTAGACTTCACATTGTGTAAAAAAAAAATTAACACTTCACGGAGGATAAGTCTTCCTCCCGTTCTTAAAACATTCATTATGGCATCCAGTCATGAGCTTTTCCTCATGACAGCAGCCGCTTTTTACCGAGGAGTACAAACCGAACTGTTTGGAGGAGAAACATGAACACTCTCTGCCCACTCTGCCAAAACACTTACCAACAATGAGCTCAATAAGCACTGATTATCTATTACACATATTCCTTCCACTTTTTTATGCTTCTGTTCACTCCTTAAAGGGGTAAACACCACAACACAAATTAAGTAAACACTACTGTTAACCACTGAAAAAACTGACACGGCGATGTCTCAGCCATCATTGATAAATAATGCTATTTTGACCATCACATTAGGTTAAGCTGTAATTTCTTGCCAGAAGGTCTGAGAAACCAATTTGAGCCACTAGAAAGGCTTACCATTTTGCGTGTAGCGCACCGTATATGTGTGCAACAGGGTGTCATGAGCAGTGGTAGCTTGGCTTTTGCTACCACACAAATGGAAGAAAACCACACATATAAGAGGCAAGACTGATAACAGACTGATAAAGCCTCGATTGGAGGTCAGAGCTGCTGGTTTTCTCTCACTTTCAGCACTCTTTTGTCCAATGTAATAGTAGCCTTGTCCTTCAAGGGAGCCCAGGGACCTTGGCTGGTAATCTGGGTCATGTCATTGACTGATGGGCTGTTAGAGTGTGTGTGTGTGTGTGTGTGTGTGTGTGTGTGTGTGTGTGCGTGCGTGTGTGTGTGTGTGTGTCCAGCCGCCGGGTAAATGCATTGGTCATGTTTATTGTGGAGATATGGAGTATACCCAGCCCAGTTGGAAAAGGTAGATACAAGACAGATAGCAGCCACATGATGTTGAACCATGTGTACATTCATCCTGCATCGACACGTTCAACACAATACAGTTATCCTGGCTGTTCTTTCCTGTATCTTAACTCAGTGGAAGGGCAAGAGACTCCACCCGCTACTCCTTGTAATTTCCTCTTGGCATTTGAGTGAAATAACAGCAGTAGTTAAGCATGCATGCAATTAAAAATTGGATTCCCACCATGTTTTTTTTTATCTGTATGAGCTCCAGACAGAGCGAGCAGTGCACCCAAACAAAGCCGATTGAACAGTCATGTGCTTTAGTCTGAAGTGAGCTTGTCTCAAAGCCCTATAGGCATGAAGGAAATGGGCAAATAACTGGATATTTTTAAATATTCTTTGTATTTAACAGCTGGCTCGAGGCTATAAGCCCTCTGTTGTGGCAGTGTTGAAGCAATTAAACCATCTAGAAAACACCACACACTTACAAAACGTGCCTGTCCAAATGTGACAGCTTCAGGTCATTATTGTGGACTGGACACACACTTGCACCCCGTCCATGCATGCACAAACACACAAAGGATTTTTCAGAACAGAAATACCATTTTCCCAAGAAGCAACAACAAACCCATGTCAGAGTCCACACAGTTACTGTTACCTTTACCCTGTGACCTCTGGAACATTAACACAACTGTAGCCTATATGTTGGCCATAATGTTAATCCTCACTGAGCCTGATTTTTAGCCTGGTTTTGTTTACTGGCATTAACAAAGAATTGCAAGATCCATATAGGGACAAGTAAGGTTTAAAGGAAAATGTCACACTTTTTCAGAGATACATATATTTCCTTTCTTGCCAGGAATTAGATGAAAAGCTTGATAGCTTATGTCTTTATGCTAATTAGCTATTAAAATATGCAATTACCTTAGACTGGAAACTGGGAGAAATAGCTAACTGCATCTTACATTTCAATTTGTGTATGAATTAAACCAACAAAATATAAAGTGTTAATTAGTAAAACTTAGAGTTGGTGGTAGGACGATTTTAGCTTTGGACGAAGCCAGGCTAGCAGTTTCTCCCTGCTAGCATGCTGACTAGCCGTAGATTCATATTTACTGTACATGCGTGAGAGTGGTACCAATCCTCTCTTCTAATTCTCAGCAAGAAAGCAAATACTCTTTTTTCCCACAATATTGTACTATTATTTTAATTTTCTTGGTGTAACCTCAGCATGCCTTAAACACTTCAGTTAGCGAATCCCTTATTCACAAAATGCCTTTCTAAACACTGTCCGTGGGAACAATGATGGTGATGTGATAACGTAGTCGAAGTAGGGAGGTTTTATGGTCAAGCCACATAAAAATCATCAAAAGCCAAACCTTTTCCAAAACGCAGCTTGTCTTGTAGCTGCACTACTTTCTGAACTCAGTTTTGTAACTGTAGGTGAAGAATCTGGTTTCCACTGGTGGCTAATATTAGACTAAATGACTAAATATGTTTTAGCACAGTCATGCTTTAACCACCCACAGGTAGCAACCTTACACTCAAAGTATGGGTTGGTAAGATAATTAACTACTGTAAATACAAAAAATTCCAAGAATGTCCACTAAGGATGCTAGTGAGTAACCAAACCAAAAGCACATTTATATTGACCTCAGTTATATTCTTGGGATTTAAAGTATGATGTAGAATACAGGTAACTAAATAAGATATGCCTAATGTATTTTTATATTATGTGAGCTTGCTTTTCTATGTTTAATTTAGTGTTAGGCAACTTCCCTGAGATTACCTGTCAGTCCAACAGAGAAGGCTTGGCTGTCATGGCTTTTCTTGAACCTTGAATTGATACAATATTTATAGGTGGAACATGCAGCATTTTGTTTGTCTGCCACAACCTGTAGTACATTTTGAGTCATTAAATTTGCTAAGAGTAACTGCGGTCTGCAGTATATTCTCATTGTAGGTTACTTAATAAGAACCAATTACAACCGCCAGCTCTTGCTCGGTTAATATTTAGAAAGGTATGTCTGTGCTTGTTAATCAGTTTAGATGAAGATATGGTGCCTGGAGAGTACACTTGTCTTTAACCATGTCTCATGTGTTGTTACCATGTCTCATTTTGTCTTTTAAAGAAAAAAGCTTTTCAGAATATGCAGTTGCATTGAAACACACATTAAAGATGCTTGTACTCCATTAGATTAAGTGGCATTTTCAAGAAATAGACAGAGTCACACACACTTGCTGTGGACCACAGTGTTTTACCTTGTCAAATATATTTAGAACAGCAAATGGAAACGTTTTCACAAACTGGTCACAGTAATAGAAAGTGGCATAACTGATTTTGCACAGATTGTTACTTTCAAACAATCTGACAAGACATCCAAAGTCTGTACACCTTGTGTCTCACAAAGATTGATTGGTCCTGTGTGTTTTCCTGCTGTGTGTGTGTAGACAAGTTTGTTTGGCAAAGACTGAAGGACAGCCCATCTCCCTGCTATTGCACAGACACACTCAGAGAGAGAGAGAGGAGAACAGAGAGAGAGAGAGCCTTGTTACACTCCTCCTCAGGGATTTGCTTCTCCCCAGGGGGGCTGAGGAAATGAACCTGCTGCCCACACTGCTGAATGAAAGAAACAGGAAGAAAAAGAGTGAATGAATGGACAGAGTAAATGAGTGAAGGGCAAGAAGTGGGACTCGTTTGACAGATTTTGTTAGCACTGGCATCGAGCATGCCTCACTGGCAGGTTCTGGCAGGCAGTGCTACCTGCGTACTGATCTGCTTCCAGGCGGACTTAGTTGTGGCGGAGAAGCCGCTTCATGCTGCAGCTTTAGACCAGAGCCAGTCCCAGTTCCAGCCTGCGCCGCTCACTCAGACATGGGCCCTGTCTGCTGCAAGCCGGACAGACTGAAGAAACAACATCTCCAAGGTAACTGGAAATGCTGGAGATTTTTAACTAGGCTTAGTGGAGCGCTTGAGCAGCTTTGAGACTGATGGAAACGGAAATATACAGTATGTTTGGAACAAAGTCTTATTTATGGCTTTTTTGCATAATATTTAAAAGATACTGACTCCTGTTCCTGCCCTATTAGCTGATGCTCATAGCAAGGTGCATCATATATTAAGATTATTACATATTTAAACAAAATCTCAAAAAGATTATTTACTACTGATCAGCTTGGCACAGATAGATAGCAGACCTACTTCTGCAAAATGTTTTTCTTTTTTTAATATGTTGAGTTACTGATACAGTATGACTGTGGGAGCTTGTTGTGTCCACAACAGTGCATGCTGGATGAAAAACATGAAAAGTGGCTGTAAAGGCCAGGTGGTAATGTGTCTTTGGTTGTGGTTTAGTATTGCTGCACTCACTGGGAGGTTATACATACAGTAGGGACCTTTAGTCAGCCCAATATTGCGTGTGTAATTTTCATTGTTTATCACAGGTATTCTTTATGATTTCTTCTTCTTTCTTGTTGTTCCTTGCAGCATGGTGACACAGTGACTTGTGATCTTGCATGTATAAGTGTTACTGATTCTTGTAAAGTGATCATCAGGGAGATTATGTGTATTTGACAATTGTGCGTGAGTGCAGGGTTCAATGTGCTTTGCCATTATCCTGAAATGTTGATTGTCTATTGACCATGCATGAGGTTGAACATATATAGGTACATCATGTAGTTATATGTGACTGCATTCCATGTGATAGTTGATAATTATCATTTAGTAGAACCTGCGCTGTAAAATATAATGCTATTGGCTGCGCAAATAGCAACACACCGTGCAGTGTATAAACTGCATGACTGTTTGCTAGGCTAGAAGAGTGGTTAGAGACACTGCTGTATAGTTGCTGAGTGGTCACAGCTTTCTGCATGGCTGCCACCAGCTTGAGTACTTAAGTAAGTGCTTAAGGCCCCTCTGAGAAATCAACATTAAAAGAATTGTTCAGCATTTTAAACATTTTGAAATATGCCAGGAGTTAGATGAGAACATCAATATTTAGTGTCCATTCATTATTTTTGAGGTGGATTTTTCCCCTCAGGTATAAAAGTGCTGACAGAAATCACAGTAGCAATCACAGTTACTTATTCCAGCAACACTCGCTGGTATTTCAGCTGGTTTTCTTTTTTTAGGAGGTTTGGTATTAACTCCGTCTCTTGTTCGTTCAGTGATGTAAGTAAGTAAAGACAGACTGATCCGGAATATGTTAGCTTGGCCCATGGGCTGGAGATGTGGGGAGGCAGCTATCTTCTGTCAAAGAGGAGGGAGGAGGAATGCCCAGCAAACTATCTCAAACGTCATGGCTGCTGAATGTTAACAAAATAATTAGTTCATTTTTATTAAATAACAAGGTTGGCAAACATTCAAAGCAGCTAACTGAAAACAGGAAGAGGTAAACAATTACCCACAATGAACCTGTTCATGTTCAAAGGTGCATTACATTACCTGAGTCTCTTCTGATGCTGAGTGCAGGTATCTCTCTTTATATTGACAGTTTAATAAGCATGACATCAGTAAATATTTTCAGCACAGTAAAAACACTTTCCTGTCTCTTTCCCGTCGTCATCTCCCATTCAACATTCAACAGCGTCTGCGAGCAGTCTGACATTTAAGAACCGATGCTGTAACTGTGAAGAATTGTAGCTTCGGTTCCTAAATGTCAGACACTTGAAAGGCATAAGCTTTTCTGCACGCATGCTGTAAACATTCAACTGTCTCGCAGGCTCAAATGTCAGCCTCCGTCTTATGATCGCCACGTGGAAATCAAATTGATCGCTGGGACTCTGAGAGGAAAACCCAGTTTAACGCGTGTCTCCGCAAACCCTGCAGTCAGTGTTATCTTAATTGGTTAATTGATCCAAAAGGGATCTTTGTACTCCTCATCCATACAGGCTTGGCTGTTCCAATAGTTTTGGGGTCTGTCAGCTATGTTGGGCTCGATTTTAAGTGGTTGTGTGTGTGTCTCATTAGGCCATGATTAATTGAAGAGAAAGTACTGGATATAGCAAGGCTTCTTAATATCTCTTCTCTATGTTTTTAATCACACTTTTAATTGGCCTCTTTTCCTGAGGGCAAACTGAAGCACTCATTTATTACTGTCATTATTAGATTACTCATTATTATTCACACAGACACTGCACGTGTGCATAAATGAGGGCAAAATATCAAATAACGCTATATCCTCATTTCACTATTTCCAAGACACTGGAGCACATCTGAAGAGAGACCACTGTGTGTTTTTCATCATGACAGTGTGAGTGTGCAAAGCTGGGTGACAATGGCACTTAGCTTTATGGCATCACTGTTATATTTGGATTCCCTTCTCGCAGCTAAATGACTGTGACAACAGTGACTGTGACTGTGGCAACAACCCCATCCATCACTCACGGCTCAGACAGTCGAAATATTCTCCAGATTATTTAAATGTGTAGAAGGAGAAAATAGTATATTCACAAAGGTGATCGGGTCAAGATAATAAGATGTATTCGCTGTCTGAGGTGGTTTTTATGTAGCAGCTGATCATGTTTCACTCTCAGATGGCCAGCATTCTGACATCAGCGATTATGAGGTAGAATTGCTGCATCACGGAAATATTTTGTCACAGCACTAGTGTTTATGAGGTAAAAAAAAAGGTAGAAAACGAAGGCACTATTTCTGCACTCACTAAAAGCTGCTGTGAGCCACACTGTCAGCCAGCTAAATACATCATATGGAACGGGAACTGGTGCCATTCATTGTTAGTGGCCAGAGAATGCAAAACAGGACAATTTTGCCATCTAGTGGTGAGAATTCTTCACAACTTTATTTTGATATAATTATCAAGCTTATGCAATGTTGACTGTCCATACAGACCTGGGATGTTGTCTTGGATTTGTTTTTATTTGTCCCAACTTGAAAATGGACTAGTTAGTACCATATTTTGAAACTTGCCTGCACAGCTCAGTTCAATATCTGCAAACCCAAATTAGCTGGCACAGTGGAAACCTGCTTGAGGGTGCCAATACAACGCCCTTTCAATAAGGTGGAAGCCTGAAAGAAACATAATCAATACCTGACAGTGAAGCTTAATGTATATTGTAAAGTAGAAATTAGGAACTATGGAATTTGGCAAATGGTTGAGAGTGGATGTATGGAAAAACTAAAACACATCTACTACACCAACATACCACTCGGTTAGTTCTATGATAAATGTCGGTGTTCTTGAGAAAAAACTTATATTTTTAATCTAAAATGTGCTCATCTCTACATTTCTACACTTTCTCTCCATCTTCCCCCTCATTTCTCAATACAGGTGGGACAGGAGAGAAGGACCGGGCGCCGATCAGCCATGAATCCTTCCTGCTCATGGCAAACTCCCAGACAGACATGGATGACTGGGTCAAAGCCATACGGCGGGTCATCTGGGCGCCATTTGGTGGAGGTAAAGCCAAACCTTTGAACTGAAACATGATCACTTTTAAAAAGACACTCAGATTTTTATCTTTTTTATCTTACCTCATGAAAACAGACAGATTAAGCCCACCTACAGAGCTTTGCTTGTTAAGAAAGAATAAAGATTCTGTTCATCACCTTTGTTGAAAAGACTGCAACCAGCAGTTCTACTAATATTTTACTTCACCAGTAAACACTGAAAGGACCGAGGCCTTTCCTACCAAGCAACACCCTAAACCAGGAAGTCCACATTTCCTTCACCCTGTTGGCACCAGAAATCTTGCAAGAGGCCTTGAAATAAGATATTGCTGCTGAAATTGGAAAAAACTATTATACTGTGTGAGCTACAAACTTGAGCCCAGTCATGAAAAGTGTCACCTAGCCCTTTCTTTAGCCTGCAGTTAATTCTCACCCTGGTGTCTCTATTCCTGGAGTCCAACTACTGTACCTGACTTGGGAAATGTGATCAGAGTTTGCTGTCAGTCTAAACCACTTCACCTTTGGTTTTTCAAATTCAAAAATAGAGGACAGGGTGCTTCTATTAAGTTTCTTACTGTGGCGAGTAATAATCATCAAAGAACAAATGTACTGGATGCAGTTTGGCCTGTGAACTTTAATCCAGTCAAGATGAGTTTCCTTTACTCCTAAAAAGTCCATTTGTCCTCTCCATGCAGCAGTGAGCCTGTGGTTAATTCTCACCCTGTCTGCTTTAGTCTGGCAGTCTAACTAGTGTACTTGACAGGGGGCCAGAAATATAACCAGAGTGTCTGGGTGTGAACTGGGACATAAGGAGCAGCTGAACAGCACAGTGTTGGGTTACAAAGTAGCGGTATATTAATAGGGGGATAAATGTAGGATAACACATCAATGATATAGTGTGTGACTTTAGTGGACTTCATTGTAAACTTCATTTTTAATTAGCCAGGTTAAAGCACTGTTGGAGGACCAAGGGCACCAAATACTGGTGCTGCAACTAATGATGACTAGTATTTCATTGCTAGTTTTGATCAATAAATGTCATAAGTCTAACAAATTTCCATCACAAGTTTTATTGGGCCAAAGTGATTTCGTTAAATTGCTTGTTATGTCTGGGTGGTGAGGGAACAGTGGATAAGACACACCATTGGTGTGAGAGTCCTGGGTTCAAATCCACTGTGAAACACCAGTGTGTCCCTGAGCAAGACACTTAACCCCTAGTTGCTCCAGAGGCGTGTGACCTCTGACATATATATATATATAGTAATTGTACGTCGCGCTGGATACAAGCGTCAGCTAAATGAATAAATGGAAACATTTGAGAAGGTGTAAGCTAAACATATTTGGTATTTTACTTAAAAATTTGCAGTTTCATAAAAAAGTTGTCAGCAAAGATTTTCTGTTGGTCAATTTATCAATAATAATAGAGAAACAGAATTCCAAGGTGAGAGACGATCCCCAAGGTGACAGGGATGAAATTTCATTTGAGGTCCTCGTGTTTAATACTTACTAAAACATTTTTGTATCAACACCGAATCAATTAACCGTTATACTACTGAACCCAAGAATTATCATCCGACATCAACTGTTTTGGTATTATGGCACATTTACTGTATGATTAGTCACGGCCCCAGTTTGTGCCTCGCATTTTACCGTTACATTCACAGAGCTAAGCATCCGACTTCCGAAAAATAAATGTCCAGCAATCTTTCAAAAATCCAGAGGGTTGTTTAACATCACTTCCTGCTGTACTGACGGCATTCTATTTTATTATTTACTGTATGAAACAAATGTTTTTGTTCATACACACAATTATATTTTTCTTGTGTCATACAAAATTATATACAGTACACATATAACGACTATGGATTTTTCAAAGATTGTCTGGTATTTATTGTTTAGAATAACTGACTCGAATGAAATGTTATATACATGTGATGCACATACAAGAAGTATATATCTGCATATCTGTCAGCTTTATACAGCAACAATTTGTCAGGACAGTGTGTCTGTTAGCGCCTTTTCTGCCCCCTGGTGGCCAAGACTTGGTTTGTGCAGCTTTAATTTAGAAAAGTGCTTCTGGTTCAGTTGTTGTGCATTTGGAGGGGATGGAGGATAAGGCACAGTGGGGACTAAGTCCTAACCTGATACCCCTATTCAGAGATGTAATGCATTTTCTCTCAGAGACTAGAAAACCATTAATATCAGCAACATTCATATGGAGGTAATCTGTTATTCGCTGGGTAACCTCATGCTGGCTCATGTGTCCAGCCGCCCTCTCAGATTCATGGGGTAGGGGTGTCTGTCTCTCGGCTCTCGGTCCAGAATAGATCTGTCGCCAACTTACAGACCTGTCGTTAACAGCAGCATTGCGGTCACAGCACACTGACCTCCGTCTGCTGCCGTTTGTCTGCACTCCTCAGTCGCTTTCATTCAGGAGTCTGTAAATGCAGGATTCATCTACCAGCTGAGTCAAATGCCTGAACCGGAATGGATGAACTTGGTGAAATGTGGGTTTGGGATGTATGAGAAACGCTCTATGCTGCTGTGCAGCTCCTGTTCTGTCAATTACTACGATTACTGCGAGCTGTCGGCCAGCTGCGACTGCTACAGCCAATCAACAGGTAATAATCAGCAGTGACCAATGAGCCAATCAACCGTGTTTAGCCATCAAGCTGTGTTGCCATTTAGCTACACCATCATTTTTCACTACTTTTAAAAAATTATTTATGAAGGGGTGTCTCCTATATACTGTTTACCAGTGGTGGAATGTAACTAAGTATGCTACATTTGGTACAATTTTGACATACTTGTACATTTTATGTTACTTTTAAATATGATGATTTATACTTTTTACTCCACTACATTTACTTGATACCTTAGTTACTTTTTACATAAAGAAAACCATCAGGCTTATATCATATGATGCAGAACTATATAACCAACCTCCTCAGTAGTATACTCAAATTGGCACAGTATCAGTTTCTAAAAATGACAAATTTGTTGTTAGTAAAAACAGAATAACATAATATTCTATAATTATATAACAATGTGAAAGGAGCTATTCTTTACTTTTGATGTATTAAATACATTGTGCTGATAATACTTGTGTAAATTTACTTAGGTACCCTTTGAATTCAGGACTTTTACTTGTATTTTTTATGCAGTATTTTTAGATCATGGCTTTTCTTTTTTTTCTTAAGTAAAAGATATAAGAACTTCTTCCATCATTGCTGTTTACATATTTTCAGTGGATGCATGAATGAATAATCTGATGGGCCTATACAGCACAAACAAGCAAGCATGTTTCCTCCATCTGTCCCCAGGGATATTTGGACAGCGTTTGGAGGACACAGTGCAGTATGAGAAGAAGTTTGGCCCCCGGCTGGCCCCCCTGCTGGTGGAGCAGTGTGTGGACTTCATCAGGGAGAGAGGTTTAGACGAGGAGGGTCTCTTTCGGATGCCAGGGCAGGCCAACCTGGTCAAAGAGCTGCAGGAGGCCTTCGACTGCGGCGACAAGCCTCTGTTTGACAGGTTTGATGAGTGTTGCTTGGAGCTTTTTAAGAATTAGATGATAGAACGTCCAGTAGACAGCTTTTTTTCTCTGTCCTCTCTTGCAGTAATACAGACATCCACACGGTGGCATCCTTGCTAAAGCTGTACCTGCGAGAGCTGCCAGAACCGGTCATTCCCTTCTCCAAATATGAAGACTTCCTAACGTGCGCACAGCTTTTGGCCAAAGATGAGGAGGAGGTATGTGCAGCATAAATCTCTCTGTGTGTTCATATGTGTTTGTGTCTTTAATGTTTTATCCCCACGGGTAGAGACTGCTTTTTGAGTGATAAGACTTGGTTTTAGAGTTCAGGTTACAAAAAGGTTAAGGCTGGGGTTAGGGTAAGGGGCTAGGGAATACATTATGTCAATGAGATGTCCCCACAGGGATAGAAGAACAAACACGTCTATCTAACAATTGTTCAATATGTCTTTTATCAGGGGGTCCAGGAGCTTGGAAATCAAGTTAGCACTCTACCTCTACCCAACTACAATCTTCTCAAGTATATATGCAAGTAAGTGAGGAAAAAATTTCATCAGTTTTAAAGAATGATGTCTGTTTCTGCTCTCGTTTTTAACTTTGATGCCTCACCTTAGATTCCTTGATGAGGTCCAGTCCCACTGTACTGAGAACAAGATGAGTGTCCAGAACCTCGCCACAGTATTTGGACCAAATATCCTTCGACCCAAGATGGAGGACCCAGTCACTATCATGGAAGGTACGAACGATGCTCACTGACGTAAGGTCCGACCAAAGTCCTGGGCTGGTGTGGTTACACATGGACTGCCAAATTCTCTGAAACGCCTATGGAGACAGCTTATGGTAGAGAAATGAGCATTCATTTCACGGGCAACAGCTCTGGTGGACATTCCTGCAGTCAGCATGCCAATTGCACGTTCCCTCAAAACGACATCTGTGGCGTTGTGCTGTGTGATGGAACTGCACATTGTCGAGTGGCCTTTTATCGTGGCCAGCCTGAGGCACACCTGTGCAATTCGCATGCTGTCTGATCAGCATCTTGATTTGCCACACCTGTGAGGTGGATGGATTATCTCTCTAAAGGAGAAGTGCTCACTAACACAGATTGAAACGGCCTTTTGTGTACATAGAGAAAGTCTTAGATGAGTTTAGCTCATGATGAATGGGGGCAAAAACAAAAGTGTTGTGTTTATAATTTTGTTCAGTGTAAAAACATATTAAACTTTGTATTTGCAGTCCCCTGTAAATTAATCACATCCTGTCTCACTGTATTCCATAGGCACCTCTCTGGTCCAGCACCTGATGACAATCCTCATTAGGGAACACAACCGTTTGTACTCAGGGAGGGAGCAGGAGGGACCCGTTTTACCCCAAACAGAGCTCCCTCTCCAGGGTCATCAGCTCCAGCATCGCAGCCTGGGAGCCTGGATCTCAGAGGAAGACCTACAGAGCTGCTCAGTCTCGGTCCCCGACCAAGAACTACACAGCAGCGCCTCATCTCTGGATGCCAAACTGTGTGCAGCCATCACTCCCACCCAGACACCTAACCTGAACCCTGGACCAAAACTGGGGTCTCCATCTGGGAAAGGGGAGACGGTGGTCAGTCCGAGTAAACAAGCAAAGGCCATTCCCTCCTGGAAATATACTTTTAAGAGCTCCTCGGCGCCTCGTTCCCAGCCGCAAGCCAAGCAAAGCAGCAGTGGCGGCTCTGTGGCTGAAATCACTAGTGTATCATCTGGTGGCGGAGGGGGAGGTGGAAGTGGAGGTAACTGGCTCATAAACGGTTTGTCCTCCTTGAGGGGACACCGGCGCACGTCGTCAGGTGAGCGTTCTGCTCGTGATCGTGACTCATCCGGCTCCTCGCAGAGACTGTCCACCTACGACAATGTCACCTCTTCCTCCAGCATGGGGAGCGTTCCAAGTGTAGCCAGCACACCTTGGTCCACTTCCTCCTGTGAAATCTCCGTCCCTGACTCAGGAAGTGAGCCCTCGGTGAGCCAGAACTGCGGAGCAGTGGGTGAAAGTGGGGAAAAGGGGGAATGGATGGAGAGCCGGAAAGAGATTGACAGAGGAAGGGTGGGAGGGATGACGACAGACCCGAGCTCTGAGCAGGACAGTTGTGAGGCCATGGAGCTGTGCAGCAGCAGCGCAGCCTGCAGCGAGAATGGAAACATGGCTGTGGCAGCCAGGGTGCCGTCCATTGTCATGTCTGAGGATGGAGACGGGACTAATCTAACATTGAGCACTCTGGTGGAAGGACTGAAGGACGAGTTGAGGAAACAGAAGACCGCATATGAGTCCAGAATCCAAAAGTAAGTCTGTGTTCTGGTGATCCCAAAATTTTGTGTGTAGATTCTCTTATGGTGCATGTTGTCTAGTAAATAAAACAGTCAATTCTAACTTTTACTAACTTTGGGGTCCCCAGTTTGGAACCACTCTGCTGTACAAAAACAACCAGCTAGCTTTCTTATCACGTGGTTAAACATGTAAGTGCTACTATGTATTATCTATTATATAGTTCTGGACCAGGAGTACATTTACATTCACAGGCAATGGGGAATACAAACAAAGTGGACCCAACCCAATCACGCTCTAGTCCCCTAATGGATCAAGCTTCAAAAACACTTTCCCCATGCTCCCTGTCTATCTCAACTGCAAAATATCCAAAAAAGGTCGAAATGTCAACAAAATGTTGCCAAACTGGCTAACTTGGTGGGACTGTGACATGATGACTTAGATTTGTATTATATCATCATTCATTTAGTGTAAATCTTCTCCTGTATGCTTGCTTGTGAGTGCTTGCTACCATACTTGCTGGCAGTTTTGTATTCCTCTTTGTATTTCCTGTAAGCTGAGGATATTATCTCAATAGCACAATTTATTTTTGGGCAACCAGGTAACTGAAATATACCCACCCACTATATACCCAACTTGAACCAAAACTATTACAATGATTAGATTTCAGTAAAGGTAAGTGAGTGAATTTTTTGGGGTGAACCGGCCTTTAAGATGGTTGCATTTCTATGTGAAAAAACTTGCCTAGTGCAGCTTTAAATTTTGTTGTACTGCCACCAAAGCAATTCATAATGTAGCAAAAGGCTAAAGGTGATTCAATGACCTTTGCTTTCTGTCTGTGATGTGTCTCCCCTCAGACTGGAGCAGTCGAGTGCTGCTCTGAGTGCACAGATGGAGCGTTTGGAACAAGAGATGGAGCAGGAAAGGAAGAAGCAACGCATGCTGGAGATCAAACTACGAAACTCGGAACGGGCACGGGAGGATGCAGAGAACCGCAACCGGCTTCTAGAGAAAGAAATGGAGGATTTCTTTTCCACACTGGGAGATCTGGCCCTGGGTGCAAGGACTAGTGACATTTGATATGCCAAAGCCACTTTGTCAGTGGCCAAAATTGTCAGGGTTTATATTTCAATTGTTGGGTGTCTTTCAAGGGCTTGCGCCCTCTTTGGTGCATGAGGGTAGTCCTTCAAAAGAATAATAATATTTGTGTACATTTAAACCCAAAAGAAAATGGAATATGGAGATGACAGAGGAAATTCTTAAGGAAGCAAATATCAAATTGGGACTGTCTGTGTGGTCCTTGTCAGAATCATGTCCAGTGAGCACTGAGGGGTGTTTGGCTTTCTTACGCATGCTTGAAATGGAACATTAAGATAAAAAGATGGCGCTTTAGTGATTACACTCTCTTAATGAGTCCAGGGTTTGTCTTGTCAAGGCAGTATTTTGACAGTTCAGGTGCCTGACTAGTGGAACATAAAGTAATTTCTCTGACATTCTCTATACTGGAGAGCACTGACTTCTTCAACCACTACTTTACAAGGACATTATGTGAATGAATTTCTTTCTGAGGCTGCAATACTTGTTAGAGATGTTAATGTTACATGCAGACAGCTGACTGATATTTATCTTTATCTAATACTTATCTTGAAGTAATAGTGCTGCTGCATTTTGGGAAATATACTTATTTGCTTTGTTGCCAAGAGTTAGATGAAAAGTTTGATCCTACTCTCATGTCTGTAGGACACAGGTGTCATTTACACTGGGGATGCTGGGGACAGGTCCCCACCACTTTTTAAAGCATAATTTGTTTAAAAAAAAAACAGGTTCTGAAATATAGCTTGAAGTTAAATAGCAAATGAAAATGCCTTTAGACAGGTTTATTTTCACATTAAGAAAACATGCAATGCAATTAAAATATAGAAGAAACAAATGAAAAAAAAGTAACTTAAGCTTAAAAAAACAAGCCACCGATTATAAAATGACCCAGGAACGTGCACGCACCAATCAGTAACTTTAACAACTTCTTGACACAGTTTCTTTTTGACCAAGTTTTCTGTTCTCTTCCTTTGAACATGAAAAAAGAGGAGGGAAGACTAAATCATGCCTACATACGTGTTGCTGCAATAAGGATATTACATGAGAAAAGTTGATCTACAGGAGAAACTGATCTGAAAGCAACACAGAATGCCTGAGAGCTGCACTACATTATATTCTATTATATATTTTGAAATGTCACGTGCCACCTGAATTTTGTGTTTCCTTTTACATAAATAAAATATTTCCACCATAAATCGGTGCAGGAAACGTTCACCAGAATGCAGGAAATTAAGTGTTTAAAGATCAAAATTTCCTGGGGGAGGTCCCCCCAGATCCAGATATCTCGGCATTGAGGAACACTTAAGGATGTTTTCGTCTCCTTCTTGAGAACCTAATATCGCCTATCGTGATGTCTCGTGAGATAATTGTCTCTTCGTACCCCTAATCTGAGCCCCTATGTCCCCACCACTTTTCAAGACAAGCCCTTGCTGTAGGATACATACTGTACAGTAAAGGTACAGCTAGCAGCCGGTTAGCCTAGCTTAACACAGAAGAGACAGAAAACAAGGGGAAAGAGCTAGGCTGGCATTGTCCAGGGTATCTTGTTTGTTTAATTCTTAAAGAGAACAAAGTGTAAAAATTACAAGCTATGGTTTTAATGTGAGTTCCACTCTTAAAAATAAATAACTTTTTCACTTTGGCAGTACTAGGCTAAGTTTTCTCACTGGATTGTATCTTTATGTTAAGCTAGGCTCACCAACAACTTGCTGTAGTAAAATAATGTTATATTCACATTTATCTTACAGACATGAGTTTGGTACCAATCTTCTCATCTAACACTAAGCAAGAAAGAAGATAAAACTGTTTCTCAAAATGTTAGCTATTTCTTTAACTGTAGGGTCAGTTCAACTAAATTTAAAAATCACATATTTTCTCACTTGCCTGTAGAAATTGCTTTTGGCCAGGTTTTGAAGTTGTTTGAAGTTCTGCAGGTTATCCAGAGTAACAGGTTTACTTATTCTGAATAATGTAGTTTTTAATGCTGTGAGCACCAGCATCAAAATCCAAATCACCTCCATTTTATTAGGTTCGGTGGCTGAAAACTTAGGGGGATATCTCAAAACCTGCGCAAATAAAACCAAAAATGTTTGCATGGCTAGACAACATTAGGGGTAATTAATAAAATCTGTTGTTGTTGGGTTTTTTTTAAATCAAAACTGTACAACTGAACAACTGAACTTTAGCATTAGTTCCTCCATTTGCATTTATCTGTGTCATGTGTTTGTACCACAGATGTGTTTCATTGTGGAATCAAATGTGTATATCACACAAAAATAGGTTCAGAAAACTTGTCCAAAAGTTCCTTTTAGAGCAAAACTGGAGCAGTAATAGGTGGAACCTCCGCAATAGCTGCCTCTGTACTTTCCTTTTCCTCAGGCCCTTCCAGTGCCTCTCTTGTCACCATCTACATGGTTTCCATTTGATGGCAAAGCCTCAGTCTGCGGTTCACTCCGATCCTCACAGATGTCAATATACCTTTAATGTACAGATAATACAACATAACAAGTATTCAAGCATTTACAACTTAGCGCATGCTGCCTAGGACACAGGACACGTGGCTCAGTAGGTGAAGGCCATTTGCAGTACACAGTAAATACCAAAGCTGGACCACCTCAGCTGTTCGCTCACTAAAGATCAGAATGGCCTGCCTGGAAGCCATGGTGATTTTGGCACATGAAGCTGAACACTGCCCTCAAAGAAACAATGGAATTTCCTGGTTGTGCCTTCAGGGAAGTGTTTTTAAATAGGAAAAATGTAGTGTTGCTTGCTTGTCCAGAGATGTAGAGATGTAGTGCATATATTCGCGCATAGTACACACAGTGGCTGCATTATTTTTATTTTTATTATATGGCAACAAACTGCTGAAGATAAATAACTTGATCTCCCTAGAAGGTGCCAACACTCGTGAAAGTGATTTGTGAATTGAATGGAAGTTCTGAATTAAGAATGTATTCTTGTAGTGAATGTAATGTGTTGTTGATGAAACCAGCCCTATGAAAAAAAACGACTACCAGAGGGGGAAAAATATATCATCACTGGTGGTGTTCAGTTCATCTGGTTCTGCAACCCACATTTTGACCCCAGTTGTCTTACTTTTAATTCAAATCTTGGTAATACTGGACAGGTGATGTATTATGCGATGCATCACACAGACCTACATCAAATTTCCAAAATGAAGAGTTGCAGTTATCTTTTGTTGAGAATTGCATGTGATTACATTGTTTAAAATGTCTTTTTTAGAATTTCCAAAAGTGGTTTAGGTGACACTTACTTCTTAAAGGGCCTGACAAACAGTATAATTACAAGTGAAAGTGTGCTTTTGGTTAGACAATGTGACTGTATTTTTCTTTTTTATATTTTATAAAGAAACATAAAGCCAATGTTATTGTAACCCTCTTTAATTGCACAGGTTTACAAGATAATTGTCCTTTACGGCCTTTTGACTACCACTACTAGAGTTAACAATATGATGGTCTAAATCTATTGCAGGTTCTTTTATTTCATCAGTGTCATTTACTTCCCTTTATGTATGTCTCATGACTAAAGCTAAATGTTTCTTGCTCTGCTGATCATCTATGGTGCTTATTTATTATGGATTTCCACTATTGTAATGAATGGACATGTATGGGAATAAAGGTGACAAAGATCATCTGTAAGACTTTAGTGAACCTGTGTTCTTGGAATTTTTGATCTGAAAAAGGAACACCAAACTATAACTCGACAGTAAAAAGGACAAAGGGACATTTGTTCTTACTGAAGAATAAATCATTAAAGGTGCCGTAGAATACTAATTTTCAGGTTCATTCTTGTATATAAGGTTTCTACTATAAAATGTTTACATTTTTAATGTAAAAAACCCCCACAATTTTCTCATACTGTCCATTCCTTCAGTACCTCTTTTCACCCTCTGCTTGAACACACTGTTTTAGCTCCTGTCTCTTTAAGGCCCCCCTCCCTGAAAGCCTACTTGCTTCTGATTTGGCCAGCTTTCACGAGCACTGCAGAGGGGTGGGGCCTAGTAGCACAGAGCTGAATCAGTGTGAAGGAAAGACCTGCTATGCGACACTAGGCCTCACTGATAACTGTACAAAAACACAACTTTAAACTTTATACACTGGTTTTGGTGAAACTGGAGAAAATTTGATGGAGAAAATATTGTCTGGGTTTCCCTCTGATGTCCTCCGGCTGCTCTGCCTCCACTTTTGGTGATTCAGAGTTTGTACGCTGCTGGTTACTTTAGCCGCTAACTACTATCAATAGTCCTGCTAGCTACTCAGTTAGCCGTGCAGCTAGCTGTCCTATTGCTGATTCTGCCTGGACTGGAAGCTTGGTGCTCCTGGGTTGTGTTGGTGTTTATATCTCTAACATTAGTACAGAAGCTTTGGACCGCAGGTTCAGAGACAATTGATAGCAGCTACCATTAGCACCAGCTAGCAGTTACTGTAGTGTTAGCAACAAGTAAAGCTATCTGTCTATCAAGAAACTTTATAAATCACAGAGCTGAGGCATGCGCAAGATTTATATGAAGGAGGAAACAATGGAGATTGAGGCTCACAGTATGTCAGTTCCATGTACTGAACTATTTTTATTTAACTATACCAAGGTAAATACATTTTTCCATTCTATGGTACCTTTAAAACAGGGTCAGAAATAGACAGTCATTAAGTAATTTTTAAAACAGCTGGGCACTGAAAACATTACTCAAACAGGAGTAAATGCATGTGTAAGGGACTGTTTCAGTGGTGGACTAATACACATTTGTGCTAAACTACAGTGCAAGTGTTCATTGTAATGACGAAGTATGTCCTCCCAGTGCAACAGTGTCTCTTCGATGTTCTTTTACACAACAATGAGGCACTTTGGCACAGAGCAAAAAGCTTGTCAGGCTTTGGCAAAACAGCCAATACTAGTTAAATGCATTCACTGCTGGTTTATTTTGTTGAATTTAAACAAAAAAAAAAAAGAAAAATATTGATAACCACCCTTATCCTTTAACCTGGACCAGCAAAAAAGCTATTTCAGGGTGTAAATAACCATTTTAAGCAATGAACTCTGCTTTTTTAAATAGATATTTACTAATGACCTGACACACTGTCATCAATCAAGTGTTTAAGTGAAATGGCACACCGGTTCACCGTAGTATTTAACACTTTGGCAGCTTCCATACATTAAAAAAAAATGATGCGTGTTTCAGGTACACCCTTCAGCTTCTTTGAAAGAAACGCTTCTGGTTGTCAGATTGTCCTTTGGCGGATCTAGCCTCTGTATTGTGTCAGTGCTGACTTCATCTTGCATAAGCAGGTTTAAAACAAAACAAACCCTCATAACCACTAAAGACATCACAAAGGTTCCCAAATCAAAAGTGGAGCCATTAAATGTATGAATTACCTCCTTTATGCAACCTACTGGATTAGTCAATGTTAATGTTGTTGGTTAATGTTGATGACTTGTTACTACAGGAAAGAAGACGACATACAACCATAAATCAAACTGAATTTCTTTTATTTGCATTACATTTTTTATTTATTTATTTTTTAAGATGTGGCATCATCAGATCCCAGTGCATGTATTCTAGTAGTGCACTTCTTCGTTGCGGTTTTTCGGAACTCGCAGATCCAGGAATTCTTAAAACTACTTGCATGGCTGGATTCACTAGCAAACATTACAAACCAGCACCATACATATAATGATTTCTTGTAGGTATTTACTAATTTTTTGTGTTTATTAACATTATTGTCCTTACCACATTCCAAATCAAAATCTGTTAGTCATGTTGTGACTCAAAGCACTTTCTGTCTCTGCGTCAAACCTTGGCCAATAGATTTGTTTGGTGGGTAAGACTGATTACGTAACATCATGACTATAAACAAGTCACAGAAATAAAAACTGATCTTATTCATAAAAAAAAAGAAAACATGGATTGACAGTACCAAACATTTTCTTTACCTTCAGGAGAAAGCTAACAAAGGCTAGGCCCATCACATACTACTAGCACAGTTTGCTGAAGGTATTGCACATTTAGTTTAAAAACAAAACAAAAATGAACAAAAAATACATATAACAATTCTCTTACTTCTAGGTGAAGTATACATAATGTACAAAACTAGAAGTCTGTTGAAACCGACAGTACACTTTCAAATAAATAAATAATGGAATCTGTTATTCACACGTCTTCGATAGCTAATTCTGCAGGCGACTAAGTATATGCAAGAACTGGCAGAAATTCAGCGTGAGGTAGTTCATCAAAGCAGACTTAAATCAGAATGACATTTTTGGAGAGATGCAGTAATTATAAAAAAGCAACAACAACCTAAAAAGAAAACAAAAATACTCCAATTAAAGTCCCTAATGTTGGGCTAAGAAAATTAAGAGCACTTTAGACAACAGTGTTTTTCTGATTAGTTTAGCTAATATGACAAATGGGCTAATATAACAAATGGATACATACCACTTACTTTCCCTCTGCTATTACTGCCTTCTTACAGATCTGACACTGCTTGAGTTCAAGTTTTTACTTGTCTGTCAAAATACTCCTATACTCCTGACTGCAGATTGAATTTAGTGTGGTGATGTACTAACCTGGCTCTGCAGTTGCTACCACTGCATTTTACTAGCAAATTCGTGATTCTCAGTGATTACCAAACCTTTCCTTTTAAATTCTGGTGACTGCAAAGAGAGCAGGGGCCACTGGCACCAGCTGTTCGTAACTTCAAACTTAGCCTAGTACATACGTGTTTCTAAGGTGGAGATTTATGGATCACAAAATTAAAATGGGTTGCACCAAATAAACTACATCATACATAGAGTTAATAAATATTTGCACCCAGCAACCACCAGGTTTAACTGTTGCATAAGTGACAAAGCTAACATTACCTTGCTAATATATAAATTTTTAACTGTTGCCTAGCTCAGTGACAAAGCTAACATTTGCTTGCTAATATATTAAATGTTGAGTAGCTCAGTGACAAAGCTAACGTTTGCTTGCTAATATATTAAATGTTAACTGTTGTGTAACTCGGTGAAAAAGCTAACATTTGTTTGCTAATAAATTAAATCTTAACGGTCGTGTAAGTGACAAAGCTAATGATTTCTTGCTAATATATTACCTGTTTAAAGCGAACTGAAGAGTAAAAGACAAACAAGACATATGGTCAACACTGACCATACACTTGATAAAATGCTGTTTAATAATGATGTAAATTGGGAAGGGTTTTACAAATTAAAGATTAATTCTACAAATAAACACAAATTACCTCAAATTACGAAACATTATGCTAATAATGATAGACTTAATGACCACATAAATTGAGTGTAAGTGACGTATTTCTTGTTTTGAAACACATTGTCGCACTTTCTGTATGCATTTATAAATAAAACAAAAACAAAGTCATACCTACATTTACAAAAAGGACTGGCTGTTACATTTAGTATATAAATATGGTTAAGCCTACTATAACTGTAAATTTTGGAATTTACGCATTGCCAAGGTTTCTACTCACTAAGACATTCCTTAGGTTTTAATGGTGCAACACGATTTACTAAATCTCTAGTTTGAAACTAGCAAGCTGTTACTAATAACTTGGGCGCACACACACACTCTCTCACACACACACACACACACACACACACAGTAATGGATTTGCGAACTGCTGGTGCAAGTCCAGAACAGAGAAGGAGACATAATACAGGATAAATTTAGAAATCATGCCGTTAAATAAATGGTTACGTCTGTGGTTAGCCTTACATATTTGGCGCACCATAACATGCTGCGTAAGTACAGTACAGCACAGAGCAACAGTACAAAGACAACCTTTCTTGCAAACTTTCTAGAAAAATGTCTTTATCAAAGACCAAGACATTGTTAACTTGTTTGGACAGTACAATACATCCTAACTCTGCCTCTTGTAGAAAGGAAGTTTGGTTATGCAAACATTTCTATCAGGCAGAATGCGCTGCGTTAAACCTCAACAGGCTGAGCAAAAATTTTAAATTGAATATAGCACGGACTCTTGTTTTATTAATTTATGACCATGACATTCATGATCGTCAGCAAACATTCACACAACTTGCCTGGATAGCTAATATGGCTCGTTTAAACTTGAATAACTATGGTTCAAGCGATTTTTCAGCTAGTACCACAAGTGTTACATAACTTTAAACTTAAAACCGCATTTGCCAGAAACACAGTGGTTGTGTGGCTCTGCCTCTCGGATATGTCTTCATAATTGAAGCATCAACTTGCCTTCCAACAGGAAACAGTATCCAAAAACACCACAAAATACTGACAATAATTCAGTTCACTCATTAAGTTTCAGCCAGTAGTTGAATTTTAAAATACCTATTCTGTTCATTCTTCTTTCTTACTATCATAACATTAAATTAGTACTCAAAGAAAAGCCAGAAAACTGTTATTAACCTATATTTTGGTTGCTGTCACTGCAAAGAAACACTTCTTTTTACTTTGATGAAAGACCTTGATAAAACTGCCTTTTCTTCTGAAATTACTTAAACACATGCTTAAGCATCTTAACGTATACGCATATCACCTTCTTGCCCTGCAAAGACACCACAGTCTCTTGCTCAAGGGTCAAAAATCAAAACAAGTAGAAAAATATACAATACATTTGTGAGAACTACAACCCCATCATACATCATTGGTTTGATATGGAAACTACTGTTGTTATCCAGACGCCATAAAACCCAAGACTAATGAAGACACTTCCTCCCAGGTACTCAGGAATGAATGACAAACAACAGGCACTTTTCCTTTCAAAGCAAAATCAAAAACAGTCAAAAAGGGCACTATTATTGCATACCATAAGAATATTTTGTTTTCTTTTGACTCTGGTTGTTTGTGCTGCTGTTTAACATGCTAAGTTTCAGGTGCTTTGAGTTTTATTCATAATTGCAGGCAAGTCTGGTACACAAAGTGTTTTGCCATCTTTTAGAAAAACCACTTTCAAATTTCCAGATTCACAAAAGCACATTACTAATAACAGGATCTGGTAGTAGGAGGCAGACATCTTTTCACACTGTTCCATCAGGCTGCAGAATCACTATCGCTCCAAGAAACCCAATATCAACACGTTCACATGCGTTCTGAATATCACAATTCCCTACTTGACTGAAGCACATTCGACATAACACCGTCACCGATTTTACAACCTCACACAACTTTACATCTCAAAAGAAAAAACTCCCAAAGCGCGACAAAAAACATTCTCAAGTCCAAAACTTGTAGCAATACCTCGCTGTCAGAGCAAGCCAGTGGAGAACGTAAAAGAGCTCCGTGTATCCAGTCCTCCAAAGCAACTACCACTCAGTTTCATGTCACACAGCCTGTTGCAGACAAGAGGAAGAGGTACTTCACAGGACTTAAAAATACAGAAGACAGAAATTTCCATGTTATCTTGCAGGACTTAACTTTGCCATTATCATATCCATTATCAATCCCTTAGCTTAAATGTTGAAGGTAAAATTAATCATATGGTGAGTGAAAATCATTTTAAAAAATCCTATCACGTCTAGAACAGGAAGTGAAGAATGAGCAAAAAATTAAAAATCTGTAGGAAGTAGGAAGTAGTAGTGACTCACAAGAAAAAAACATTTTTACAAGTAAATCTACATGATCTTAGTTTAAAAAAATTGGATATGTCGTATGCATTTAAACCAATATCCATATTAGGCAAGACAAAATATATAAGGGGAGTACTAAGACCATACATTTGTCAAATCAATTATGTTTCAATGGCTCACTGCAAACTTGTATCGAAGATAAAACTACATCTACCATAAAATCTGTACAAACTCAATCTACATTTATATGGCAAGTTGTAAAAGCCGTAGCTTACAGGTGAAACAAATGACTTTCAACAGAAAAAATAGATCACATTAAAACATTTTACAGATATTTCTTTATATTCTCACTGTCGGTCAATATAAACCGGAACATAGTGAAATCATAAAAATTCTCGTCATCTTCTTAGGTTTATGAAAAATTAAGAAATGCCACAATAAATTACAGCTAGGACTCAAACAAAAAGAAATCCTAAAATCCAAAAAAAGACTAACTGTAATTCAAAAAAGACAAAATGTCTGTCCTTTCAGAAACCAAAATATTTCTCAAACAGCTAGCTGGCTAATCGCTACACTACTGAAGACAAGCACAGAGAGGAGGTTGGGGGACGCAAATGCAAGGGGCGGGGCTAGGAGCCAGTGTCGGCATGTGGTCGGGCGAGGCCCAGGACCAGGGCCACGGGGAGGTGTAGATGATAGTCATCTGCAGCAGCCCAGGGGGCCGGTGGCTGTAGAAGCAGCAGCAGCGGCGGCAGCGGCGGCAACAGCGTCGGGGCCGGCCGTCTCCAGGCTGCTGTCGGTGTCGGTCAGGGTCGGGTCGGTGGACATGGAGGAGACGTCGTTGATGGAAGTGTAGGAGGGCGTGGAGGTGTGGTGCTGGGGGCTGCTGCTCACGGTTGCACCTGTGCTATGTGAAACAGGAAAAGGCCCAAGGTCAGCCATCGAAGTGAACGCGCTGCTGAACTTTTGTCAAATTGTGGTTAAGTTAACTAAGTCTAGGTAATGCAAGTGAGATGGTGCTCTTTTACCTTGTATTCAATGATGCGTGTGCTACGTTTCACAGTATAATCTAAGCTGTAATGTACATTTTACCTGCAACCACAGTGAGTTAACAAGATCGTTTTCCGTGTTAGGTGTTCAAGACAAGGAAAGATTAGACAGTGGTAGGCATGGCCCCATTTACTGTTATTTTCTTCATGAGCTCTCTGGTGTTTCACAAGATCCACATTTTGAACTCACATCAATGTAATAATATCACAGCCAATGAATGACTCCCACAGTTCATCCTCATTTATACAGCTCATGAAAATGTGTCAAGGTGCACTTGTTTTTTATTTATGGGAGATTTGGGGTCTCAAGTCCAACCCACTTGCATGTCTTTGGACTGTGAAAACTAAAGGAATGCACAAGACATTTTATTAAATAAGGATTGGCTTCTTGTATTGATGTCACTGAGCAGACATGGTGCACCACATCAGGATAATATTTGGGGTAAAAAAATTATTTAAAACAATACATTTGGCAACTACTTCTCTTTACTGTTTTCACATACCAAATTAAAAGTAATGAAATTAAAACAATGTAAACAGGCCAGAGTCTCAGAGGACTGGTTTGGCAATTACATAGATCAGAGACAGTTTATTGTGCAATTATATTATGCCATATATGTTATGCTGTATAAATATTCTGCTTAATAATGCTGCGTCACTTGTAGATTTATGCCAAACCTAAGCAGGGTCATAACAAACCATGTAATACATGTCTAACTAGACACATAAGTATGCTAATTTAGTCACTCTCCAGCCCACGTACAGTATGACTCCATTAGAGGAATTACCAAAATTTAGTAAGCACAAAGATGAGCGTGAGTGTAAAACACCTTTTCGACAGAAAAGTTATAACCACATGAAATGCAGAGCTGTAACAGTGCACTGGTGATTGTTTTATGGGCACAGGGTGTGCTGCATGTCACAATCTTGACTGTTTCCACATCTTCAAGAGGTAAAAAGCTCCCTTTAACATGCAATCTCTCTCACACATACCCACAGACACACAAAACTCCACTAACCTATGGACGCCGGCTGTCCCCTGATGACACCATTCTTTGTCCTCTCTTCCCAATCCAACACTTCTTTGTATATCAACTCTGTAACAAACACCACACAATCATCACAGTAAGGAGGAGAGAAGAAAAGAGGGTGACAGAAGCATCACACAGCGACCTCATTAGAAAACATCTGATTTTTTTCAGATTAATTTTGAAGTTTACTCATTACGACTACTCTATTATGGCAAAAATCCTAATCACGATAATTTGGTCAACACTGATTACTGATTGACTATCGGAAACATCATGCATTTTTTTAACTTTCCAACATCATTAACTTAAAACAGCATGTCAATATTTTACAAGCACAGCCCAGGTAGAGCAACTACACCTGGTGTTGTATAAGAATAAATAATGTCTAACTTGTTAAGCTATCACTACAGGAAAAGTCCACAAGCTGCTAGGCTAATTGTGTAAAGTGCCACAGGCTTAAGATAATAATGGTGACTAGCAAGTTGTAGCAGTTAAAACCCCTGCCATAGCTGTAAAGGAAAGGTGTGCACTAGATTTATGACACAAGACAAAATAAGTGTCATTGCAAACTGGCATGTGGAACAATTGTCGTTTTATATCGATTATCTTGTTTTTATGATCACTGTAAGCCAAAATCATAAACTCAGATTAAAATTTGATTAATTGCAAAGCCCTACTACTCATCACCATTTTGTTCTTCAGTCATTTTCTATAACTATGATCTGTTTTCTACTACTTTGGGAACTTAAAAAACTGCCAATTACTAAGATCTAAGAAGAGGAAGATATGTGTGTGTGGAATCCAGAAACACCAACACGTCACACTCCAGGTGTGAATCTCCTGCCTTTGTTAACACTCTGTCAGCACTGAGGAGGAGGAGGAAGAGGTTTAAATGGAGCATCTGCATGAAGGAGGCACTTCTTCTTCGTAAGTAATTTTCAGTTTACATGTTTCATTTAAGTAACATTATTTGTAATCCAAACGGCATCTGTGAGATGCAGTTCTATGCTGATGATACTCCACTATATGCTCCACTGAAATCCAGTAATAATCACATATCCCATACTTTGCCTGTTTTTGAGCTGTTAAGTGTTATCTCTTCCACAAGCACAGATAAACAAGTTAGCATATGTATATAAAAATACCACTGATTAACTTTACAGTATAATATTTGATTTTCTACAAGATTTTTTACAGATAATCTGTAATTACAACTAAAATGTCACATTTCAGGCAGGACATGTATGCAACATGTGCCTCAATCCTAGTGTAACATTAGGACTGGCCATCAGACATTAGTGCATTTATGAATTCAGACTATGCAGAGGAAAACATGCATATGAGTTAGAGAGTGAAGATTCAATGTCCTGCAGGCTACAAAGTACGAGCATAAACCAAACATTATGCAACACACTGCAAAAAGCTAAGTACTTGTGACAGCTTATCAAAGAGGAGAGGAGTAACAGAGGATGTTTCCTACCTTTCCACTCCTCCACTGTGTGCTCTCTCTCATCCAGCTGCTTGTCTGTGATCGCGGGTGGTGGCTGGAAATACAGACAGACACGTGTTATCTATATATTTCAACAGATGCTCATTATTAACACACACAGACACACACACACACACACACACACACACACACACACACACAGACACACACACTAAATGATGTTAAGAATCAAATTTAAAAAGGTCCATTTTGTATTCTTTACTGATACTGCCATTTACACAACCTGTAGCTTTTGCATGTCTGTTTGTAACTATGTCTAAATACCAGATCTGAGCTTTCAGTAATTTGCCACTGTGAGCTTAATGCACATTTTCATTCAAACTAAGCACTACAGCAGGAGAAACTCAGCAGTAGCACCCAGCTCACACTGAAAACCTACTGACTCAGCTAACTGATGCCACAAACCTCTAAATTCAGGTGTATAGCACATACTGAGCTAGAATAACCCAACTCAAAGCCGGCCGTGGGATAAAGTTAACCGTCAATGGAGATTTGATGCATTTATACAGTGTACAAATCTGCACTTTCCAAGGCTGTGCTGTCAGTTCTAAAGAGTCCTTTCATGCCAGAGAGGGGATGGGAGGGAAGAAAGCAACAATTCACCTCATCTCCCAATCTGCCTGATAACAGGAAAAATCAATTTGCACTGGCTGAGTTATTGTGTTTCCAAGGAGAATGTGGTGGATTGACACCAAACCATCTAGACAACATAGCAGTGGGGTATTACAGTTTGTAGTCCTTATACCTAGATGGGAGTTTAAGACATTGATTCTTTTAACATCTTAACAGGGGATTTAGTAGCTGAGCAACATTAGCTTTCTACTTCTTTTTCATGTGTGCGTGTGGTGAGAAATTATAGGAGAGATGTTCGTACTTTTCCAAAATGTACCTACATTTCAAACCTTAAAAGCCTCCTTCATGAACACAACATTTTCTGCTAAAGTTCGAACTGTTTTGGTTATTTCACTACAGAGATTTTTGTATTTGTGTTTTTGTCTGTGCTCTTCTGACTGGATTTGAAGTGGGCGGAACTCAGCTGGAAAAAGGTGATGTCAAATATGTTGGTGAACTAGACATTTGTGCGGCTGTTTGCTTCTGTCGAGCAAATTAAATTCTCATTTGGTATTAATTAGAGAGTACTTACTGCCTCTACTTCAGTCGGGTCATACCACACGTTGATATAAGGGTGCTGGAGAGCCTCGTCCACCGAGATCCGCTTTGACGCGTCTATTACCAGCATCTTGGATAGTAGGTCTCGGGCTTGACTTGCTGAAAAGAATTTGTGCCAGTAAAAGAGAAAATGAGTGGGAAATGTCACATTTTAAACCAACCAGATTTCCATTCCATAGTCACTTGCTAATGTGATGCATGTTCTGCTGAATCAGGACACAATGCAGGGAAGGTCCATTCAAAAGTGTTAAAGTCCCCCTCTACTCAAAAATGTGTTTTCATTACTGTTCCTCGACTGTGATGTGTGCACTTCACTATGCAGAATGATGCATGTGTGGAGTTTGATACTAATCTCTCTAATAAAGGCCGGAATACTGTGAGTGTGTGTGTTTATATTTCGATTATGTCGAGAACTGTTCATCCAATTGACCTCACACGTGGCGGTTGTGTGTTGCTGCGGACCCAATGGGGGTGCATTTGGTGCAATTAGGTCACATGACACATTCAGAATTAATAAACTATCGAATAAACTACAGTACAGCGTGAGCTGCTCTGCAACAGCGAGGGTGGGGTACACTCGTAGGGGCGGGGCTTATATGCTCCGATGTGATAGTGAGTTGTTGAAACGGAGTTACCACACAGGTTTGATATTCGTTAGAAACAAATGTGTTGAGAATTTGATTTGATGGATTGAGGGAGGAGTTGCAACTGTTAAAAAATCTAAACTGTTACATCGTACCAGCTGGTACGGGACAACGTCACGAAGAAGGGTGCAGTTCTCCAAAAAGTAATGGGAGCTTATTTAACTCTGTGTAATTTTCTCATTAATAACATTATGTTCTCATAAAAGCATTTTATGTGCAACTCAGATGCATAACAAACATCTTGCTTTCTTGTGCATCCTCATGCATGATACAAAGAAAACGGGGACCCACTCGTACGAACACTAAAAGCTACACAAAAACATTAACCTTGTGTATCATATGTTCTGTCTGGAAGCCTTGCCAGCATTGGCTATCAAAGCTTTCACAGCCAAATGTGAACATTCAATGCATGCAGTTTAACAGGAGTACTTCAGGAGAACACACTGTTGTCACATATTCCTTCCTCAGTAAATTAATGAGGACAGAAAAAGATGAGCTCCTTTTTTCCCCCCGCTCCACATCTTGCAACAGCTCCACAGCACTTGCTGCAAGTGTTCCCGTCATCTTCTCTCCATTTACACATGAACACGCTTGAGGTAAATTCCGCTTCACAGTAAACAACTTGGTCCTGAACTGTCAGCCTCCATAATAAGTGTTTAATCTAAGGCAGCAACTGAAAAGTGATTTGTCACTTGGGCTTTGCTGTCAGCAGATGTTTGTGAGGCAGCAAATGCAGAGTGCCGCTATATGGACGAAAAATTCATCTTTATGCTTTGCAAGTGCGTGCTTACATTCTCGCTGAGCCATCTTGGACCTATTATATTAACAGTACCAGCTTTAAAAAGTATTTTGTTCACATTTCAAGCAGTAAAACTGAAGCATATTGTGGCATAAAAGCCGTGGCTCTTATTCCTTGCACCTTCGGGCATGTGATAAAACAAGAGTTACGAATCTAACTACAGTTCTATGAAATCTCGATGACTGCCAGGGACAGTGCTAAACACTGGATGTCATCAGTCTTGCGCAGGTCGTATTTAATGTCAGTCACATGTGACCTGGGATGATGTAGGGCGTAGCGTATTTAAGCCCATAAGTAGTCATAATGAAAGATGTAACTTCAGAATGTTGCCAGCATTGACAAAGAACTCTGGCTGTCATCCAAAATTCATAGAACCGTAGTTACATATGTAACCACCAGAGGCAGTGTTTCAAACTGCATGACTATTACCAACATAGTCACGAGGAATCCCACCTTACTGGGAATAGCCTGAGTGTTCCTGAAGGACAGCTGCCGCTACTGTATGTGGAGCGACATCGACTTGAAATGGGCAAGGTGCATGGTGGCTGCAGTGCAAATCTCACTCAGAGGCGTGACACTCCTGGTAGAGCGTCCACTAATATTAAGGGGCAAAAGCAGTCCTCTTGAGCTGTATGCCTCCTCAAATACCTCAACAATCCACATGGAAAGCCTCTGTTTAGATAGGGTCTGCCCTCCATCGCAATCTAACCAAGTCCAGCAGTTACTTTTTATAAAAATGCAATTGCCAGAAGAAAAGCAACTTTTTCTAATAACCACTTCAGCCTCACCTGCTCCAGAGGGTCAAAGGTGGGGAGATGAAGGGCTATGTCTTAGGCAGCCTCCAAGGATGCCCTTGACGCGCTTCCCATCCGCTGGGAACATGCGTCGAAGCCTCTACGTATCCAGGTCTGTCCTCACAGAACTGTCATACATAGGGCACCCTCATCCCATCCTTGCATAGTAAAGATCCTATCCGGTTGATCTACCCCAGTTGCAGCCACCTTGCCAGGAGCAAATATTTAAATTCAGCAAACTCTGAGGCTAGCGTGTCAACTTTAGCTGCAAAACAATCCACTTTCTTGGCCTTTTTCCTAGGTAGGGAGCTTCAAGTGGTGGCCAACTATGCCCAATCGTCACATTTGAAGCTACACAGATGGAGTCAGCTGGCCTTCAAGCTGCAGTCCTTCTACCTCAGCTAGCTTCAGGTCCTGCAGCTTGAAACTGCAGTTTCAGACTTTCAGACAGCCCCTCATTTGGGTGTGTAACACAGACATGTGGGGCGTTCATCATGGCCATTTAGCAGTGGACACATGCAGGAGCAACAAACATGTATCCCCAACATGGTGGGGCTGCTTATTTTTGTGTTTTAATACTGAAACTCAAATTAAAACAACTCCCTCACTTAACAACAATACAATAGCTTGGATAACCTTCTGCAATAAAACCCGCCCACAGGACACCTGACGCCTATTTGTAACTTCTGGTGAGAGTACTGGAGAAAACACCTGCCTAACATCCAGTGTTAGGCACTGCCTCTGACAGTCTGAAAGAATTAAATAGAACCACAATTTAAATTTGCAAGTGGTTCCACTTCAGGCTGGATGCACCTGTAGTAGATAAACTAAGCACCAAAATGGTTTTAACTCACTAAATGCTAAATAGCAGGCACTAAATTTATATCCTCACACCCACCTTCTTGTGCCTTAATAAACCTTTACAAGATTATTTTCACATCATGGTCATTAAAAGAGGCGACAGCATCTTTACCTTTCAGTTTGTTGTGTTCAGAGTCTGCAGGAAACAGAACATCAGGGAAGAGCTTCTCGAAGCTGTAACCAGCATACCGTGGCCTGTTCTCCACGTAGGTCCTCACTGACTGGTTGAGCTTCATCAGGAACTCCTGAGACGGTGTCCCCAGCTGTTCAATCACCTTATTCCACTGGTCGATATCTTAAGGTTACAGTGTTAAGAAAAGCACTGGGCCGGGTTTGGAAAAAAGATCTGCGGTTCCAGAGTTGGGCTGGGTCATTTTGAGAAATATTTTGTACTAATGAACAATAAAAAGAGAGCCAACTGTAGTTTCTATGTCTCGTATTACATTGTTCTGCTTGGATATGTTCCTAAAATACTATTATATTACTTAACAAGGGATGTAGAAAAAAGCACACCAGACCAGCTGTGAAGTGATGGCTTAAGATTAGAGTACATTATTGGATGAACTGTGGGAACATTCTTTACACGAAAAAATGTACATCTTATATTATCATCCAGCTACATCTGGGCTGGGAAAAAAACCCTACAACTTACAGCTAATTAAGGGGCTTTAGCTCTCCCAGTAATGAAAGACAGTTATAAGGCAGTATTAGCCGGTAACTTGATACAGATGTGTTTTCTTGCTGGTAGATCATGAACATGAACTCATAGATATTGCTTTTTTCACAGTTTTATTGGCTACACGAAGGGCAGTCATCGGCACAATTGGTTGCAATTGGCTTGGCCTACCCACGAAATAATAGGGGCTAGCCCTTCCTTACAGCGCGGGCTCTTGTTGGCTATTGTAGGCTGTAAAAGGGACACGTGAGCTCCTTTTGGGTCAAATAAGGTGTCAGTCAAAAGGTCAGAGTTCAGCAGCTAATTTTAATACAAGATATCGCATTTGTTTACATCCAAATCGGAGTTATTACAGTTATAATGACATACTAGCCACGCCTGCCAGCAAATATGAAACGATGCAGCAGCAATCCCTGGGGGTTTATTGATTGAATAATGTGTTTTGGACTAAATGTTTTTAATGGATTAGATCGTCTGGAATTTTCGACAATCGTCACAAGACCATTTTTGTTGGAATATAATCGATCGGTAAATTACAATGAGGCTTCATAAGTGAGTCGCGTCAATTTTGATTGTACTGGTTGGTCTGACAGGATTGTACCCGCTGTGGTGATCTTGAAATAGTTTGCATTGGTCAAATCACAAGGATTTAAGCTTCCAAAGAGCGTATCATATGAGTATGAAGTTAACATAGCAGTTGTGTGCACATACTGAAAGCTGCCGTCAGCATGATGGCCCGTGGGCGGGCCGCTGGAATGTTAAGAGGTGCAATGACTGGTAATCACTCACATGACAAAAGGCTGAATGGCTGATAAAAGAAATGCCTAGCATTTATGAATGTACAATATTTATGTATTGGGGAAAACTGCTTGCAACTTGAGAACCTAGAGGGATACATTTGTTCAGAACTGGACATAATGTGTATGTTTTATTTATGCTTTAAACGTCTTCATGTTCACATAAAGGTAATTTTATGTAGTTATTGTTTATTCTTTAAAAGTCAATTAAAAGAGATTTTTTTTTATAAAATAATAATAGAGGCAATCAATGTTTTGAAGAGGGGATTATCTTCCTGTTCCCGTGCAAGAAATATAGCAACAGAACCCCCCTGGCTGATAATTTAATTTTTTCACACCACAGCCAATTTATGATTTTAATAGATTTTCCCACCTTCCTTACATATAGGATACTACGGGAAATTAATTAACTTACAGTGCCACAACTACGGAAGGTCAGGGAAGCGGTGGCACCCAACCATAATTACCCAAGGTAAAGTGAAAATTAATTTCATTTATAAACATCATCCTAAACCATAAATTCTATTAAATGAGTTTCCCTGCCAGTCAGTCACAACTGAAGAAGTCCTTTGGATGAGGGACAAAACGTCTTCCAGTATCTTCAACTAAGTCCAGTTGCCCTTGACTTTAACCTTCGCTGGATAACTATGACCTGGATGACTGAGAATCTTCATAGACATCTAATAAATAATATAAATTTATCACCAAGCTCTAACTAACACTGCAAACAAAGCGCAACACCCAACATAAAGTTTACTTTTTCAAGCTAATGCTTCACCAAGCTTAGCTAACCAACATCATCCATTAGCATATTAGAGTATTAAGCATCTCAAAGCTGCTTAATGTAAAGTAATAAATTAGTATTTACATTTACAACACACTGATCATGTTGAGAAACATAGATATACACTGTGTTCTATGCTGATTTACCCCACCCCCCCCAAAAAAAACACACGGCCGTATTTGTTTCAGGATACATGCAAACCAACTATAAACACTAAATAAAGCACCTACATAATGTAAAATATTGTTTTCATTCATGTACAAAGAAAAGGTTTTAAAAAGTGGGAGAGACCGTTTTCATGACAAACGTTTTTACATGTGACAGCAGGTAAACCACACGTGTCATTAACTAAACCTGTTATTGTGGTCATTAGCTCACTAATGCGGCTTAATGTGTGACTTCTAATGGAATACAGCAATCATTAGTGCTGTTAATAATAAAACTGCCTGCCCTGAAAAAGGTCTTTTCCTCTTCAACTCAGTCACTGAAACAAATGAAAGTCACCTCTGAATACGATCACGCCATCACACATTGAACAGGCACAGTAGATGGGCAGGTTTTCCCATTGTGTGCAAAGATATGAACAACATGTCAAACAAAAGGATGAGACAAGACGGCCTTTTGGGGTTTGGATGGAGGTTCAACTTAAGGATACGATCAGTGCCTGGAAACAACACACTACCCCGGACCATTTCAGCCATGATGCAGCCAACAGACCAGACATCAACTGAAAAATGAGATGACAACCACCAAATTAGCATGCAGGACTGAAAGACGAACAGAAAAACAACTGTAACAACAAATGAACAAAAGGGAAAAATAAAAGAAACATGACGTGGTACCAGGTGATGTGTGTGATACATGACAAAAATGGATTGCATGCAGTTGAGTGCACTCTCAAACCCAGGTCTGTGTCCCACAGGGATAAGGGAAATGATTATTACTCTTTTTGGCTAGAGTGGCAGCAAGATCATTTCTGCATCAGGTGCACTAAATTGTGAATCACAAGCTTTGAAAAGTGAGACACTGACTCTCAAGGTCTTCTGAAAATGTTATGTCTTAACACCCTCAGTATCCGCACTGAAATTCATGTTGTACTTGTTAAACTGGAATAATGTTATCTGTAAGGCCAAAATTATCATTTGTTAGCTTTTTTTGTTATACCCACATGTGCGACGTTGCAGATTACAAGTCTCACAAATATTTCTGTAACAGAGCACCAATATATCAGAATTATATTAAGGAAAAATTCATTTTTTCTGTGACTGCTGCTTTGGCATCTACAAAGACATAGAAAGCAGTCTGAGGACAGACAAGGGTATTGTTTGCACTTAAGTTCTCAACAATGGAAGCAAGAGCAAACTATTAAATTCTATTTCGGGTTTTTCATGTGACTGTCATGCTTTAAGCAAGAGTGCTGCTGCTTCGGTGAGTGAGGAGGCAGCGGTGTGAGTTTGAGTACCTGTAGGAAGAGCAGGTGGGTGGTTGCAAGTCAGGGTGTCAGGCAAAGCTGAGAAATAGAATTTCTATAGTTGCTCACGGGATATGAGACTGAAAAGATGAAAGACGTTTGTGTGCTATGTTTTGTTTCACAAGAAACGCCAGACACTGCTGCAAGCAGCTCAAGGATACAATCCCTTCCTGGAAAAAGGATTTTGTGGCGAACCATTTCTGCCATAATGCAGCCCACAGCCCAAATATCCACTACATATGCGCAGCATAAAAAGGAGGAAGAAGAGAATAAGCAAAAAAAAAAAAAAAGAATGCAACATGTCAGCAGGAAAATTTAGGGTTTATGTTTTTGGTCAAGAGGATTAAGGGTGGGAGACTATTAGTATAAACAAGATTCTCCTCAGTTTTATTATAGTGGGAGCATTATTGCTATGTATTCACCTCATGATACCTGTACAAAAGGGAACATTTTATTCTACGAGTGCTTTAAAAACTGAGATTTGCTTAACTGGCTGTTACGCATCCCATTTTATACCTAAAAGTCAGAGTATCTGCTACGCTAAAGAACACTAGTTACCTTTCTAGCAAAGGAATGTTTCAACACCTTTGGGAAAGGCACTTGTTAGCTTAATGCTCTGAGAATTACATGGATTGATACCACTATCATGTCTGTACGCTAAATACAAAGCCAGAACCAGGAAACAGTAAGCCTAGCTCTGTCCAAAGGTAGAAAAATCAGCCTGCCAGCACTGCCAATGCTCAACGATTAGCACATTATATTTCCTGAAAATCCCCCCACCAAGACAAAGTCTTAACCCTGTAAAACCCCAGCTTGTGGTTTTTGCACTTTGTTTTGTGTACGGATTAAACAAACAAGATATAAGTAATTAATAGTAAGTAATTAGTGAGGTTTAGAGGTGCTGGTAGGTGGATTTTGATTTTGTTATCCTCTGCTACCAGTCTTTATGCTAAGATAATCATCTCCTGGCTCTAGCTTCATATGTAATGGACAGATATGAGAGTGGTATCCCATCTTACATGTGGCGAATAAGTATATTTCCCAAAATGTTGAACTATTCCTTTAAGACCATCTTGCAGAAACTGTGACACATTCCAAGCAGGAGCACCAAGTGAAACTGCTGAAGCATGCACAAGTGGCATACTGGCTTTATTAGCCAGGCTATAAGGAGCTCAGGACAAGCAACCTCTTAATAAAACATCAAACGCATGCTAAAGCACTGCTGGGAAATGGAGGCCCTAGACAAGAAGTTTCCCAAAAAGCAACGCTGCCCAACATGCCAACTTCCCCCCCACTGAGTGTGACCTTAACAAGAATAGGGAGTGTGTGTGTATTTGGGAGGTGCTGTCAAAAAACATCCCAGGGGGGAGGGCCATGCAGCAGGCCAGGCAGCAGCTTCTTAGCTCCTCATTGGCCGGTCGCTGTCAAGATGCTGCTTTCCTCCACTCACCATTGGCCTGATAGCCCATGCCCAGGATGACTTCAGGTGCACGGTAGTAGCGGGTGACAACATAGGGAGTCATGAGGAGGCCTGTGGCAGCTGTCCTGGCCAGGCCAAAGTCTAGGATCTTCAGCGTGCAGTCAGACTTCACCACAATGTTGCTGGGCTTAAGGTCCTGTACAAAAAACACAACAAGGAGAGCCTGATTAAGACTGACGTGCTACAGTTGTGGTATGATCTGTTGGTGTCCTGCTCTGAAAGGGGCAAAAAAAGAAAGTTTGATGTTGAGACAAATTGTATAAAAAGACAGTTGAGAAAAAAAGTAAGAAATATCAAATACCACATACAAAATCATTTTCTTTGGGGGTGGGAACAACTTCAAATAAATTCTGTATATGTGAAACACTGTATGTGGTGTAGTTGGGGCTTGGATACTGGTATTTGTTCTCCTCGAGAAGAAACGTGTACAATATGGAAAACAAATACCAATGAGTTGATGTATCACAGTAAACAGGGCCGGATTTACTAACACCCCGAATAAAGAGTACTAAATGTGTCTGCATTCTAAAATATTGCACGTGCAATTGTAGTACCTGTTATAGGTGATAAACTAAGAACTATTGCGTATATAACAACAGGTGCAAACACAATGGTGATGACCGTATTTAAAATAGGGTTGTGTGTTAAATACAGATGCTTTTAGGCTTTTTAGCACATGGCATTTAGTAAATAAATGTATTTGCATGTTACCCTCCCATTATTTTTCACAATAAAATTGACACGTCCCAAATTGCATATTCATCAAGGCAAAAGTAATAAATGAACAACAGGTGCTATCTTGCACTTCTGGAAGATCAACTTACATGTTAATTTGCTGGTGATATGAAGTTTGCACACATTTTTACTCACGCAAACATTTAGTAAATCTGGCCCAAAGTGTTTTTTTTGTCCAACTTTTTATTTGATCCTCATTTAACTGTTCACTGAGTTCTGTGTGCTGCATTATATTCTTCACTGTTTCATGTCAATCACCTGACACCTACAGAAAGAAAGTGAAGAAATATGACATGTACTGAGCCACAATTGTTAATGGTAGGTGTCCTTTCAAGTGTCCTGACAAAAACAAAGAGCTTTTGAAAAACGGTTTAACTTGCAGAGAAAGCTGTTCCTCTCTTCTGAAGCTAATCCTGACAAATTAAACTGACATTAATATCTGTCTAGCACTTCAAATTTCCATCCGGTGAGGTGACATGTCATAAACAAGACTAACTGCCTGTGGCTATAATCTACTGATTGGCCGTCTGCCAGTACAGTTAATGCAACAATGTCAGCAGGTATATTTCCCTTTTATACAAACCTTCAGGAATAAATCAGGGAAACAAAGAGAAAAACAACACTGAAGTACTGAAGCCCCAATTCTCTACCAATAACTAGAATGTGCAGACACGGTCCACTTGATCCACACTCCCTCCGCAAGAGCACTCGGTCCTAGTTAGTTTGGATTAATGCTTATAGGTTATAAAATAACCAAATTAAAATTTTCCTCCAGGTCAATAAACAGGTGGAGGTACACAAAACTTCCCAGCTCCTCAGGATTGGGATATCTATGCTCTTTTAGGGAAAAAAAAAAAGGAGGACTTGTTAGTAACTATTAAAATCTCAGTGATTCCCACAGGTTTTTAAGAGACTATGGTGGGTGGGCCTCGGACTCTCTTGGGGGATGCGGGGTTCGAGGCTATCTATGAAGAACTTTGCACTCTTGTAAACAACCTTGTGCTCTAGTAAACTATTTAATCATAAACCCATTGTATAGCTATACATGGTGATGAATCAGCAACAAAAGTCAACAAATTTATTTAATGTTTTTCCAACAAAATACTTTTTTTTATTGTTGTTTTTTTTGTTTTTTTTACTTTTAATGGACACATGTAATACGTTTTTTACTTTCTGTGAATATAATCCAATTCATCTTATTTCCATAATCTATAGATACCTTATTTTGAAAAACGGACCTTGTCATCACAAGTGAATCCTCGTGCTAAATTCATTCAGTCCAACCCAACTTGAAAAATAATGTTGTATGTGGTTCTCGTATCGCGTAACATGAAGACATCACAGCATCTCTTCAGGTAGGCCTCTCATACTGCAACACTTGTCTTTGTAAAGAGAGAAACTGACAGGATAAAGTCGCTAACCTGTCAGCTCGCACTGGTCCGTTACAGTGGCTTTACCGTAAAGGCTTTAATACGTGTGCACTACAAATATAGGTGCGTCTAGCTTAATCGCCTTCTCACAAACAAGTGACAGAAACAGGCCGCTAATGTTACCGTAGTTACCTCAAAAGAAAAGTGGTTGTCTCGAGTCAGATGCCAAAGTGTGTGAACGTGCGAGCTTAAAGCAGCGCGGAGCAGTTCCCACAAAACATAACTTTAGAGGTTTGTAATGTTATTATGAGAGGTGTAAAAAAATGTAGGTTCATTTTGAAACTATGCTGCTATGAAGCATGGATCGAGCTGGCCAACTCAATACCCTCACCTCTCTATGAAGCTGGATCACATTGTCCTTCTCATGATCACCACCTGGTTTGCACAGAATACTACAAAACCTGCCATCAAGGTAGCCAAAAATGTCCAGGAGGCAGCTCACTAGCAAACAATAAAACACTAATTTCATCATCATAATCATTATCACTTCTTGGCAATGAGACCATCAAATTGTGTGGCTAACGCCTTGAAAAGGTAGAAAAACATATTCTTTAGGTAGTGCTTAGCAACTCCGAGCATCTTCAAAAGAACAAGAGAGCTCTCTCATCACAGACATAAAGCCCGCAAGAACGAGAGAGCTGAATCTTTGGCGATCCATGACTCATACTGCATCTGTTGCACTTTATGAAAGCTTTGCGTGCCGAACCGCGCTGATGCGAGTGGCGCTGGTTAGCTCCGCCTGTGGCTCAATTAGTTCTGGCTGGCAGAGCAAGAGGAGCTCTGCTAATCTACTGCTGCGCCTCTTACTGAGGGTGATTGACAGAGTGCCGTCAGAGTGTGTGTGTGTGTGTGTGTGTGTGTGTGTGTGTGTGCATATAAGAGCGACCCTTTGTTTATAGCTGCTGGTGCTTCAGGGTGTGTGTGTGTGTGTGTGTGTGTGTGTCATCCTGTGTGTGTGTTGTTTCAAAGTGAACAAGCACCTGAGTGTATGTGTGTGCAACCTACGTCATCTCTTCTGTATGACAACCTGTTTATGTTTGCTTGTGTTATCTGGTGATTTCATTTATCACTAAAGTGTCACTAGATGGATACACATTTTCACTGTCTTCACACGCCATGTGCCCCTGGCTACAGCTGTATATCAAGTTGAGCGTGCCTATGTGTGCCAACATTACAACATTTGGGCCTACTATCTGCATCTGATGCATGCAAATCTGTTATGCATGTATATTAGAGTGCCTGACCCTGTGTATGATGCCGGCGGCGTGTAGGTGTTTGATCCCACACAGCATCTGGTAGAGCAGGTAGGACAGCCTCTCGTGGTCCAGCTCCATCTGAATCACCTGGCACAGGTTTGCATCCATCAGCTCCATCACTAGATACCTGCAGGGAAAGAGAGGCAAAATAATCACACAGGCAGGCGGACACACAAACAGAGCTTTCATACATTCACCGGTTATTATTTCACATGGGATGCAGCATATTCTTGACTTGTGTGACTATATAATACACATCAAAAATAAAATGAAATATTAGATGCTGAAGGCTGAAGTTTCTTGGCTATTTCAAGCAAACCATTTACTATATAATTAAACCATAACTATGTAACCTACTACCTAAATTTATCGTAAAACTACATTTTACATCTCCTCACCCACACTGCACTTTTTTTCTGTGGCATTTAGGAAGTGACAGTAAGGGTTCTCCTTCTCAAAACTGTGATGATAATATGTTATCTGGCAGCTGTTACATCATCAGTCCCTAAAATGCTCCTACACTGAGGAAGGCCCTTCTGACAGACTTTTATACAAAAAGAAACATCTTGGTGACAGAGTGTGCAGCTCTACGCCATAAAAAGTAGGACTTGGGACTGCTTGGATGATAATTTGTATACACAACATGTAGTCAAGTGAAAATGGCTAAAATCCACTGTCAAAGGATGTTTATGTGTAAGGCTGAGTGTGTGTACACATATGCACATACATATATGCTGAAATTCATATTTTTAGAAAACCGTGCGCTCTGCAATACAAGTATGCACTCAGGTATACAAACACACAGGCAAATGGAGTGCTCATCCTTCATCCTCTAACTGTGTGTTTGCGCCGCAACCCTCTGGCTATGATTTGTCCAGTTTCCTTTTTAGCTCCAATCAGGCAGACACAGCACTGCACGCACGCATGCACGCACGCATGCACGCACGCACACACACAGAGCTTCTAGAGGATGGCATTAATCATGTTTGTTCCCGTCATACTCTACAAAACCATCACTTCCCCCACATTTCAGTTTAGTATTCCCCTCTGTGAGATTCCACAGCAAGTTTCCACTCGCACGGATGTCTTGCAGACTTGCAAACACATCCCATCCAGGACGCTGCATAATATACCCTGATGTTGGTCTTATTAAGGAAACCGTCCAGCCAAATGTGGAATATATAAAAGTTGGACTTTGCAAATGGTTAAAAATGATTATTTGGTAGTTTCTATGTTACTTTTGTGACTTGTCAGTGTTCAGTTATTTTACCACGAAACATTTCCACCTGATGATCCACTGAATGAATCTAGCTTAAACATTTAACCTGTCCATTTGCTGTGATTGCAGGTGTTTATATGTATTCCTTGAAATAAATCTTCCTGTACTATGCACCAGGGCTGAACGATTAATTGCATTCGCGATATCGCGATGTAATAAAACGAGATTTTCTAATCGCAAAAGCTGGTCACATGACACGCGAGATTAAACCAGTCTGCAGAGAAAGCATCAACTTTGCACGTTACCCTGTACCTTGTCTTCTTGTGGTACAATGGCCTTAATCTTGACAGAAGCTGACACAACATAAACTTTAGTGTCACACAGGGAATGAAAGTAGCACCCGCCACCCGAGGGTAACTTGGTGGTGGGTGAAATCGTCAGGCCATCCGCAGCTTTGATGGACAGGAAAAATGCACAACAGATAGACATATGTAGTAAGGTGGGGTGGTGATGGCACAATGAATAAGACGCCTGCCTCACCTTTGGTGTGAGAGACCCGGGTTCAATCCCCCACTGTGACCCATCCACCATTGTGTCCCTGAAGACACTTAACCCCTCGTTGCTCCAGAGGCGTGCGACCTCTGACACGTATAGCAATTGTAAGTTGCTTTGGATAAAAGCGTCAGCTAAATTAATAAATGTAAGGTCACACACACAGCCACCAGTCAGCTCAGGAAATATCTGTGAAACGGCGTTTCAAACCAAACTTTCAAGTCCGAAAGAGGCGCAGTCTGACCCGAGTTACAGCCTGGTTACAGCCAGTGCGCCTCTTAGCAGCATTGCAAGCTGGTGATGTCAGAGAATTTCTAAGCTTGTCTATTAAACACGAGAGGCGTCACGTGGTTTTATTTTCGTTGGCCAACTTTTGAATTGAACCTCAAACTGAGTTTTTTTTTTTTTGCTTACTGGGATAGAGAAAGATGGACTCCTAGGAGATTTGAACTGAGATAAGGACGCATTAATTGGTGGTTTAACTGTGGGTTTTGTTTTGAGCACTTACTGTATAACACACTGTGGTGAACTTAGTTTTTCTTGTGGTCTGTAGGTAGGCCGACCTGATGATATTATATCATATTATTTAATACCATGACTTGACTCAAATTATCTTTCTCATATTATTATAATTTAATAATATCTTCTCCACCATTGCTCATAATAATAATTCTACTAAATTCATCATAACACAGGCCTGACCCACAAGAAAGAACAGTGTGGTTGTGATATGTATATTATATGTATATTGTGTTGGTCATACTATACACTGATTTACTGCTTGTCCATTTTGAATAATACTGAAGGTACAGAGCTTAGAAATTAGATATCATATTAAATCGCAATATTGGTAAAAAAAATAAAATAAAAAAAAAAGCGCAATTAGATTATTTTCCAAAATTGTTCAGCCCTACAATCAACCTGTAGTAAGGCAGGATTAAACACTAACCATGGATCTAGCTATGCTGCACAAGCACCCTAAAAAGTAATCTAAACCCCCAGCATGCTACATCCTGTATTGATTTTACAAAGACATGACGAGCAGATGTTATCTGGCTCAGTAATACTCACACATCTTGGAATTCTTCCAGTGTCTTCTGTGGCGTGAACACGTTTAACAGGCCGATTATCTGCCGGGGAAAAAAAGCACCAGTTATTACTCTGCGAATCCGGAGGGGAGATGATGGGTCGTAATGAATGACATCACTGCCACCACCTCGGCATCCCTGAACCAAGCAGGGTTCATCTGAAAGGCTCTGACTGCGGCAGCTGGATTGTCAACAGTGAACAACAACAGGACAGTCCCCAATTTAAAGCACTACATAAAAAACAAACACGGAGCAGCAGTAGGGAGGATCAACAAGACCTCTGTTTTAAGGTCACCTATCAAACAAGGTGGGCAGCTTCTTGGATCATTATGACTCTGCAGTAAAAGGGTCGTAAGATGAAGATGAATCTCTACAGAAATGTCACTGATTAACTTTACATTATTTTGAATAACAGATGACCCAATATAAATATTTAATCACCTGCAATGCGGCCTGATGCGGCCCCTTCACAGGAAAATTATGTTCAAACTGATTTAAAGATTAAACATGTTGAACTTTCCTTTTGCTCCGTCCAAGTGTCTTCTGTTATTTATATTGTAAATTCACTGCTCCCACATGCTTGTTCATCACATTACTTCTTGACTGATCTCAACTCTGAAACAACCCCATGCATTTGAACCAGCTGCGAGCCTCTATCCGCAGGAAACACACAACAGGGAAGGTGTCACGGCCCAAAATTTGCCACCCCCTAATGGTCACATTGATGTAGCTATACATGCTTAAAAAGAAAAGAAGCTGTCTGAGCGCTTACGTTCTTGTGGTTGACACATTTCATGAGCACCAGTTCTCTGTAGGCCCGTTTTGCGTGAGTTTGATTCTGAAACGGCCGGCTCAGCTTCTTGATGGCGACGTTCCTCTCAAAGTTGTGGTCATACGCTGAACTGGGGTGGAGAACAAAAGCAAAAACTTACAACAACAATAATATATAAGTCTTCGCACTCTTTTTTTTGGCTATGTTGAAGATGGAATGAAATTACAGGTTGTACTCTCACCAAGTCTTGTTGGGACAATTTAGTCAAAGGTTAAGAACATGCAGACTACACTTTGTCTAGGAGTAGGAGTCAGACATTTTCAATTCCTACACACAGGGGCTTTAAAATGGTATACATTTTTGAGGACACTACTTACTAAGGCTATGGCTAACATGTTAGCAAACAGCTGCACATCCAGCAGACATGGAGCAACATTAGAATTGATTTGGACTGACCTAAAAGTCGAATATTCACTCTGTGTTTAGCTCAGTTTCCACTGTCTCTCATGGAAATATGTGGCTCTTCAGCTGCTAAATGCTGTTCACCAGCTAGTCGCTAACTTTTAGTTTGCCGTTTGGTGCTGGGCAGATAGAGTACAGTTGGCTTTTAGAGGGTTTTCCCTATTAACACTGATCAGACTGAAGAATGAATCACTAAAGTGAAGCTGCGGCCATCGAGTCAACAATAATCTGTGGGCTCATCACTAAAAGTGACCCCTTTCACATAGCAAACTGTACTTTACGGTGTTGCAGAAAATATTATATATCACAATATATATCAATAATAGGGCTGTGCGATATGAAGATATATACACACACACACACACACACGTGCTGGCCATATAATTAGAATATCATCAAAAAGTTGATTTATTTCAGTAATTCCATTCAAAAAGTGAAACAGCCTGATATATTTCAAGTGTTCATTCCTTTTAATTTTGATGATTATAACTGACAACGAATGAAAACCCCAAAATCAGTATCTAAGAAAATTAGAATATTGTGAAAAGGTTCAATATTGAAGACACCTGGTGCCACACTCTAATCAGCTAATTAACTCAAAACACCTGCAAAGGCCTTTAAATGGTCTCTCAGTCTAGTTCTGTAGGCTACACAATCATGGGGAAGACTGCTGACTTGACAGCTGTCCAAAAGACGACCATTGACACCTTGCACAAGGAGGGCAAGACACAAAAGGTCATTGCTAAAGAGGCTGGCTGTTCACAGAGCTCTGTGTCCAAGCACATTAATAGAGAGGCGAAGGGAAGGAAAAGATGTGGTAGGAAAAAAGTGTACAAGCAATAGGGATAACCGCACCCTGGAGAGGATTGTGAAACAAGAGATTCACAAAGAGTGGACTGCAGCTGGAGTCAGTGCTTCAAGAACCACCACGCACAGACGTATGCAAGACATGGGTTTCAGCTGTCACATTCCTTGTGTCAAGCCACTCTTGAACAAGACACAGCGTCAGAAGCGTCTCGCCTGGGCTAAAGACAAAAAGGACTGGACTGCTGCTGAGTGGTCCAAAGTTATGTTCTCTGATGAAAGTAAATTTTGCATTTCCTGTGGAAATCAAGGTCCCAGAGTCTGGAGGAAGAGAGGAGAGGCACAGAATCCACGTTGCTGCAAGTCCAGTGTAAAGTTTCCACAGTCAGTGATGGTTTGGGGTGCCATGTCATCTGCTGGTGTTGGTCCACTGTGTTTTCTGAGGTCCAAGGTCAACGCAGCCGTCTACCAGGAAGTTTTAGAGCACTTCATGCTTCCTGTTACTGACCAACTTTATGGAGATGCAGATTTCATTTTCCAACAGGATTTGGCACCTGCACACAGTGCCAAAGTACCAGTACCTGGTTTAAGGACCATGGTATCCCTGTTCTTAATTGGCCAGCAAACTCGCCTGACCTTAACCCTATAGAAAATCTATGGGGTATTGTGAAGAGGAAGATGCGATACGCCAGACCCAACAATGCAGAAGAGCTGAAGGCCACTATCAGAGCAACCTGGGCTCTCATAACACCTGAGCAGTGCCACAGACTGATCGACTCCATGCCACGCCGCATTGCAGCAGTAATTCAGGCAAAAGGAGCCCCAACTAAGTATTGAGTGCTGTACATGCTCATACTTTTCATGTTCATACTTTTCAGTTGGCCAGCATTTCTAGAAATCCTTTTTATGTATTGGTCTTAAGTAATAGTCTAATTTTCTGAGATCCTGAATTTGGGATTTTCATTAGTTGTCAGTTTTAATCATCACAATTAAATGAAATAAACATTTGAAATATCAGTCTGTGTGTAATTAATGAATATAATATCCAAGTTTCACTTTTTGAATGAAATTAATGAAATAAATCTACTTTGATGATATTCTAATTATATGACCAGCACCTGCATATTGTTTGACAATAGAAAAACATCTATTGTTTACATTTACACTATCGTTTGTTTCATTACGTAGCAAATTCCACACTCTACACTAATATTTTTGCAAGGGGGATGACGCTTTGCACCACAGTGAAGTTTTATGTTGGATATTCGACAGACATCTGTCCACGGTACATTCTTCCACAGGTGCAGGTGTTGCAGGAAAGAAATTCACATTCAGAATAAACAAATGTGCAGGAGAGAACCGGTCAATACTGAACAGGCGGACTGAGGCCATGCAAACAAGGAGGAGCTCATACCTAACAGAGAAGTCTGTTGTATGGGTGAGCCACACAATTATACATTCCTGAAGATCCAGCCATGATTTGTGTGTCAGGTAACGTTTAATAACTTGCCCACGGACGCTCAGCTTACTTTCTACTGCCCCAAGACATTCTGTTGTTGTGATGTTAGCTATAGCAGCAGGAGAGCTGTGAGTGTCGCAGTCTGGAGCCTGCTGTGCTACTCTGGGACCGTCTTGTCTTCTAATGTTAGCTTTGCAGCAGCAAGTAGGGACGGCTTGCTAAACCACAATCTAGCTAACATTAGTTACATAATTTGCTGTTTCTCACTGTATATCATAGAATATGTCACAGTATTGGATTTCTCCAGAATCACTTACCACACCATTATGATGCAGAGAAATATCATGAGTTGCTGCTGGAAATTATGTCGTAACAGTATGTTGTGATATTTCATTGAATTTACAAAACAAATCTCCATATCAGAATACATATCATTATTTGGATATGAAATGACCTGTATTGGATATTAAGATTTTAGTCATATCACACAGCCCTAATCAATAATGTGATAAAAAAAAATATTTTATCTAATTTTATCTACATTGCTAAGTCCAACAAAAAAGGTTAGAAACATCTTGCAACACTGCAGCGTTGTTGTATTGGACTGTATTTCACTGTACAGACAAGATTAATGATGGCAACTTAGGTGAGTTCATCCAGCTTAGCTTCTGGTATAAGAACTTCACCTTTTTTGGCATAAAAAATTTGATCAATCAACCACCGACACCGATGCCATCGTGGCACAACTGTTGATAAGATAGAATATCATCATATACAGGAACTAATCCTGGGTTTCAGATTAAAATGTGTTTCAGCACTGACACTTCCCCTAATCCTCTCACGTCTACAGAGATCCACAGGGAACACAATACCATAATGCACTGTCAACAAACATTACAATTTGCATCTATTCCCTTGTCGTATGCAACGTATGCTGATATAACATCTGATCTCGTCAACTTTTGGAGGCGACAGCTGCCAAAGACTGCACACTGCACCAGTAGCTTCCATCAAATGTTTTCTCAGGTGACAGTGTCAATGGGGAAAGTTCAATTCTGCAGGTTCTACCCTCTCTGACTGATAAATAGATGAACTGATTATTTTGGCTGACACAACAGTCACACATAAATAAGGCTGCAGAATCACATGTTTAATTCTGAGTGTCTGATTCATTTCTATCCAGGTTTGTAGGTTTCATACTGAAATGACACGTGAAATCTTACTTTAGTTTCAAGAGACGTCAGAGGTAAGATGAAACTGAAAATGCAAATAGTGGGACTTCCAACTATATCTCATGAGTTTGCCTTGTTGTCATGGTAATGCCTTGGCTGTCTAACCCAGCTCTATGACAACCAAGCAAACACCATACACTGATGAAGACCATGTAATAAAGTGGATCAGTGGAACATGAGCTGATTTTATCTTGTCAAACTACTATTTCCAAGACCAACACATTTCAACAACAACACGTGATATATTTGGATTCCCCCCTTAGACTCACCAGACAATTCCCTGTGCTCCGGATCCGATGGGTCTGAGGTTCTGGTAGCGCTTCAAAACCATAAAAGTTGAATCGCCCACATCTATACTGTAGTACTCCTTTTCACGCTTGTTCCGGTTCATGGTGAAGCCTTGGACAAACGCCGTGATTGGGCATTCAAGTGGAGCTCTCAAGACCTGCAAAGAGACAGACGGGTTGTAATTTTTTTGTAGAATGACATATTAACACAATCAGGAGACATGGAGCAACATTAGAATTGATTTGGACTATTCACTCCAAGGGGTAATTTTTTCCAAATTAAAAATTAATAACTGAATTTCGGAGCAAATGTCCTAACTTATGGCAGTATAACACTTCACACTGTGCATCAGGTGGCCACATTATTAGTATAGACTTGTGGCAAACTAACATTTAATATGGTGGGTAATCAGGAGCTACCAGACTTCGAGGAACTGCTGATAAACTGCTCATACTGTAGATCACTCTATGAAAAAGCCCCACCCTGCGGACTGTCTGACTCGGAAACAGCCAACAGTTAATTTAATTAAACACTACTAGGCTTTGTCTTGGATGTAAGACACCCTTATCTGCATTTCCTAAAATGAAAACAAGTCTTATTTATTCCTTTAAAGAATTACTGACTCACTAGTAGCGATGAAGTACACTGCTCAAAAAAATAAAAGGGAACACTTAAACAACACAATGTAACTCCAAGTCAATCACACTCCTGTGAAATCAAACTGTCCACTTAGGAAGCAACACGGATTGACAGTTAATTTCACATGCTGTTGTGCAAATGGAATAGACAACAGGTGGAAATTATAGGCAATTAGCAAGACACCCCCCAATAAAGAAGTGGTTCTGCAGGTGGTGACCACAGACCACTTCTCAGTTACTGTGCTTCCTGGCTGATGTTTTGGTCACTTTTGAATGCTGGCGGTGCTTTCACTCTAGTGGTAGCATGAGACGGAGTCTACAAGCCACACAAGTGGCTCAGGTAGTGCAGCTCATCCAGGATGGCACATCAATGCGAGCTGTGGCAAGAAGGTTTGCTGTGTCTGTCAGCGTAGTGTCCAGAGCATGGAGGCACTACCAGGAGACAGGCCAGTACATCAGGAGAGAGACGTGGAACTGAGACCCCTTTTGTGAGACCATATGCTGGTGCAGTTGGCTCTGGGTTCCTCCTAATGCAAGACAATGCTAGACCTCATGTGGTTGGAGTGTGTCAGCAGTTCCTGCAAGAGGAGGGCATTGATGCTATGGACTGGCCCTCCCGTTCAGACCTGAATCCAATTGAGCACATCTGGGACATCATGTCTCGCTCCATCCACCAACGCCACGTTGCACCACAGACTGTCCAGGAGTTGGCGGATGCTTTAGTCCAGATCTGGGAGGAGATCCCTCAGGAGACCATCCGCCACCTCATCAGGAGCATGCCCAGGTGTTGTAGGGAGGTCATACAGGCACGTGGAGGCCACACACACTACTGAGCCTCATTTTGACTTGTTTTAAGGACATTACATCAAAGTTGGATCGGCCTGTAGTGTGGTTTTCCACTTTGATTTTGAGTGTGACTCCAAATCCAGACCTCCTGGATTTGATTTCCATTGATAATTTTTGTGTGATTTTGTTGTCAGCACATTCAGTATTAATGAGATTATTTCATTCATTCAGATCTACAATGTGTTATTTTAGTGTTCCCTTTATTTTTTTGAGCAGTGTACATAAATGCTCATGTGTGCACTGTTTACTGCCCCTTTAACCTAATAAAAACCTGGAATAATTCTTTAATATTAGAAACTCAAACCAGCCACCTTTTAAGTCCTCAAGTGAGGTTCGTCATTTATAATGACTACTATAAAACTTAGAGGTGTGGGTGGTGGGAATGATGATCCAGGCAGAGAGGCAGAGAGGAAGCAGGGTTTCATGCTGGCTCTGAAGACGACAAATCATTAGTGGAATTTGGAACATTGCGCTGAGGAGGTCCGCTTTGTGATGATAGCTGTGCGTTCTGCGGACCGTGACATGAACTCTAGATTTCTCAGACTACCGCTAACCCTCCCCTCCTTTCCTTTCAGTGTCCGCTAGCCTGCGAGCCCCCTCTCTTCTCCACTCCACTACACTCATCTTCCTTTTCTTGGGTACGCGGCTCATCAAACCTTCGCTCTTTATCTTCTGTTTTGCTTTCTCTTGTGTACAGGGCTGCAAACGCAAGTCACCACCTGAGTTAAATTCAACTCATTTTCCGGAGACAAGGTTCAGAAAATAGACACGCAGGCAAGACCAAGGCAATTCAAATCCTATTCAAAGATCAATTAACACATCAGCTGCTTGCTCTGTAATGAAGCACGCTTAGTGGTAAGAAGACAAAGATACAAAGGACATCAAATCAAACTCAAAAAGTGGCTTAAAGTGACCACTACGCCAGAAGAGCGATCTTTAAATTAAACTCAAATGCGGCGTGTCTTCCCCTGTGCCTCCTCCTCTCCTACACTCGTGTTTTATCCTTCCTGCTTCTGATCTTTGTCTCCTCTCTCTCCCCTTCTTCTCTCCCCTTCTTCTCTATGACTCTGATCGTCTTCTCTCTCCCGCCGAAGAACCTTGACAGCAGTCTGCAGCAGAGCCACGCGCTGCAGAGGTACAGGGATGAATAAAATTGTTCACAAAAGAGTCTGAACTCTGTGATTTTATCTCACAGACATACTGCCACATGCAGGTACACAAACATGTCGCTTCCGTAGATTGAAAAGCTTAGTAAACAAAGTCACTCAAACAAACAATTCATTCAGTCAGATTTGTCTTGTGATGACAGCCACTGTCACATCACATGGCACTACGCGATTATGTTTGTATGTTTCCATGTCCATACGTACTTCCCTCTCAGATTAACCTGCACCCGGACTTATGAGGTCAGACCCCACAAACCAGTTATCTCTGCTACGTATTCCCAACCTAAAGGGACTGCATTTATATGACAGTTTTCACTCTATTTGAATTCAGCACACACAACGGTACATGCAACTCAATTATTAAATTAAAAGTGCCCTCGCGTTTGAGTGGAAAAAAACAAGTTCTTCTTCTTAACAAGGCTTTTATTGTGAAACATTTGCAGGAACGTGTTGTGGAAAACTTACTGACTTGCAACTTCACTCTCATTGTGCGTTCCAGTTATACTGGGAAGTCCGAATTCCCAGTCGGAAATTTCAACTGGAACACTTAATTTCAAAGCAGTTTAAACATTTTTACATGGGCCCAACCCTAATCTCCACCACCTCTGCTGTTCGATTAACATCTGAGAGAGATCCACAGTCATACCTACCACCTCACCTGTTGCCCGCATTCCATTCAACAAAATTCCATTCGTAAAATACGGCACGCCGGCACGATCAAATGAAGCCAAGCCGTGTCACTGCAGTTAACGGTTTGGTTAAAGGTGTGCAAACAATGTAAATCACACTGTGTTTAGCTTTCGTAGCTCCTGAATAATGAATGTCACCAACAGTATGTTTCTTCCACTAGGGGTCTCCAAAATAAGGCATTTTCTTGTAACAACAAGCGTGTCAATCTTTTTAGGCAGAATTTTGACCAACTGTGGGATCACTTCCCAACTGTAGCAAATATGCAAGAATTTATTTGCACAATTATGAAAGCTTTAATTATCTTGATACATAATAATGTTGCATCCCGTCAAAGTGATGTTGCCACACCCAATTTAATTGACTCTTGCTTACTGACAGGCACCCTCACAGGACATGACTTAAACCCCTTTTACAAAATGCTCAGACTGATCCAGAGCAGCAAAAATGTCAGCTTCATTTGTCGGTGGGTTCTGGTTGCAAAGGCACCAGAAATAACACATAAGCCGCATGTAGCTTGCTTTTCATTTGGTAAATCAAATACAGGCTTCGTGTCATGTTCTACCAGTTACAGGTTGGCCTGTTCAAACACTGCAGAGTACGTCTAAGCTGATGTTAGGCTTCAGCGTGCGGTGTGACATGGTTTTCTCTCCTATTTGAACAGAGAACAGCACATATCAGGGTTACTGTGAGACGAGAGGATCTGTGGCTGCATGTGAAAATGGGGCTGTGTGATATGACAGTGTGTGTCAGGCTGTCAACCCTGTTCAACTGTTAGGAGGCAGATTCATGTGTAGCCCCACAGTACACAATGTTATACAAGCAGGGGCGCACACAAATGAATTAATGAAAGCCTTTGGTTTAGTGATCAATTGTGTGCATGTTTATATTTAGATATAACAAAATATTACAACTACATTTTATCTATTTGACCACCTTCCGAAATCAAAGGTCTATTGATAATCCTTCAATCATGCTCCGACTGAACAAAAATAAACATATTGAGGCATTAAAGGTGCAGCTTTATCACAGATTTCCCAGCAACCACAGCTGGTATACTGCCATTCATTGAAAATCACTGGCTCTGAGGAAATGATGTCTCTGACAACAGACAAAAAAGGAAAGATAATGCATTAACAAGTGTCAGATGTGGCGTTTGCACAGGTGAACACACATTCGCTTGGCAGTCCTGTCCAGATTCACACTGTCTAAACAGTCTCCCGGTGATTGGCCTCACGTTGGCCATTAGAGGTCTGCTCTTGTTCACCCCGAACGCAGTGACTTCACCGTCCAGATTCTTGAAAATCAACAAGGTTATCTGGAGGTTATCTGGAAGTTATCTGGGAGACCGAGATTTAGTCCACCAGCAATTTGGGAGTTACAATTTGTCTTTGAACTGCTCACATTCAGCCAAAGCAATGGCTGTCGATAAGAGCCCATACAGGCGCGCTGAACTGAACCACATTCCTGTTTGTCTGGAGGGGACAATTTGGGGATCACCAAATACCAAACCAATAATCTGAGCCCAACATTAGCCAACGTGCCGATCATAATAGGAAATATTGAAGAGGCGCACTTTACAATACTCCAGCCAAACCACGTTCACTCGGTTGTGTCTTGTCTTGTAAGTTGATTATTGTAATCTTGTAATGAGCACCATGGGCCTTGAGAAACAGCATTTCGTTCATTGTGTACTCGAGGTGTGGATGAGTGACAACAAATTTGAAATGGCAGCAAAAAGTTATCCTGCTCAGCTTCCAGAACACAGCCTGGAGAGGAGATGTTAGCTAGCGCTAACCGCCTTAACTTTCCCAGCAGTTGGAAAACGACAGACAGACTTTAATAAACGGACACACAGTGACCTACACTCCACACTCACTTATTGCCGCCTGTCATGTAGCTGTCCTATGAAGAATGAGGAGAGGACGCTAGCTAAGTGCTACCGTTCTGCACAGTGTGCGGGTGAAAATCATTAACATTAGTTGTGCATTGATTTTATTGATCCTGTGAAAGTTTTGTAGCGGCAGTCATTCAATCAACAGCTGCCAGAGCTGCACTTCAGCTTTTCCGAGTTCCGCCTTCCGTTATCAATTAACCTCTAGATAATCGATTATTAACATTTGTGAATCGATTCATAATCGTCCAAGTCCGCATTGCGATGCATCTAAAAATCAATTATTTTCCACACCCCTACTGATTATGTCTATTCATTTCTGTTATTAAAACAGTTATACACTCAGCTGTGTATCTGCGGCTGCCTGGTTTGGGTTTGGCTGGTCATCTAGCTGTATCGGGTGCCTTAAAACATGTTCAACTACATATAAAGCCTATGCACTCATCAATGTCACTTTCTGTGACCGTTAGAACTCACTGTAATGCATGAATGGTTATGATTACTAAATAGTTAGTTCTTAGCATTACAGGGTTGGGTGATGTCTATCAAATATGGCACTCAACAATGTCTACAGTGAAACATCAGGATGTACAATGATATTTGGGGGGGGGTGTGTGTGTGGGTTGTTCAGTGATCTTGTTCACGTAAAGAGTGCCGTGGGTTTTGTGGGTGGTGCTGGTGTATCGCGTATTCGTCCGTGATTCAAAACTACAAGTCCCACATGCGACAAGCCGCAATTCACCACTCAGAGCAGAGTTGTGTGTGAAAAGCTGTGTCCATGTTTTAAAAGCTGTGTCGCACATTTTTTTTTTTTTTAAATTCAATGTTTTAAAAAGCATTTTAAGGCCCCTCCCGAGGGTCCAGATAACGGGGTCTTCACTTCCATAGTCCTCCACTGGCTTTCACATCATAATTACACACAAGGAGAAGGAGCACACACAGTTTTCATAACGAAGTGCATTGACATGCACCAAAATATAAATTCTTGGCCGAAGCCGAAACCAAATATAACGAAAAAACTTGCAGAATAACACCGAACAACTACATTCACATTTTTTCCGCCTTTTTTTTTTTTTTTTACCATAGCATAAATTAAAAAGTCAAAATGTGTTTTTTACTCAGTGTTTCCCACAGGATGTGGAGCGACATGTGTCCATTTACTTTTAATGGACACATGTAATATATGTTTTATTCTTTCTGTGAATATAATCCAATTAATCTTATTTCCATCCTGTACAGACAGTTTTTATTTTGAAAAACGGATGTTGTCACATGCGTTTCCTCGCGCTAAATTCATTTAAGTGACCCAATTTGATAAATAATGTTGTATGTGGTTCTCGTATCGCGCAACATGAACACTTCCCAGCATCTCTTCAGGTAGGACTCTAATACTAATACAACTGCAACACTTGTCTTTTGTCTTTGTAAAGAGAGAAACTGACAGGATAAAGTCGCTAACCTGTCAGCTCGCACTGGTCCGTTACAGTGGCTTTACCATAAAGGCTTGAATATGTGTGCAATCCAAATTTAGGTGCGGCTAGCTTAATCGCCTTCTTAAAAACGAGTGACAAACACTCAAAGCGGGTCAGACCATTTGTTGCCTTTTCTAAGAAGTCAGCCACAGATGGAGTGGATGTGCTAGGAGATGATTCAGCAGAACAGTGTCTGCAAACCGTGATTTTTGCATCTTTCTCAGACACTTTAAAATGCTTCCACACTGCCGACATGTCAGCATAATTGTTAGTTAAAATTTCTTCAGTCTTTTGACATATTAGGCCGAACACGGAAAGTGCTTTTTGCTATTTTTGGCTGATTAATTTCCGTGGCCGAACATTCAGTGGGTCCCTAAAAGTGGAGAATTTTTACAAACAATCAATCGATTAATGGAAAAAATAATTATAAGTTGCAGTTGAATGCACCTCAACAACTACAGCAGTAAAATGCGGCTTTACATGAATGCATGAGCAATAATAATCTCATGATGTAATAGTACAAAAGTCACAGGGGACATTTTTCTGCATTGAGTATTTTTACTTTTAATACTTTAAGTACATTTTCCTTATTATATTTATATACTTCTACTAAAATAAAATTTTCAATGCAGTGCTTTTACTTGTAACAGAGTATTTTTACAGTGCGGTATGATCCTGATGGGAAAATTTTAAATGGCAAAAGACATGGTGCCGATACACAACAGCTTGGAAATTAGGAATTTTAACTGATGAAAAAATAACTGACCTTAGCTTTAAATGCTTCGCATGCGGGTATCTTTATATATTTGACATCACTGTGGAATCTTGTACAATTTACTAATTAAAGTCGATTTTCTGTGTGCAGCTGAATCTAGTGCTAGGGAATTTTAAGTTTAGGGGGCTGTGAAATAAATATGGACTGCTATGCTGTGTGAAGTGTAGGCACAAAACATATTTGCACAAAGATAGGAAAAACAGCAAATGAAATATTACATCTTGAACAGAATTTGAACATCATCCAAAAGATTTGGAATAACATGAGATGATGTGGTGATTCTTTCTCAGGTAAACTATGTTTGCCCTTACCCATGACTGTTTAAACTGTGGCCTGCTGTATTTGTGTCAGGGCTGGTTCTGGCCGCCAGGTTAGAGAGGGACAACCAGCATCAAATATTGACTCCACCTAACTACACTAATTATGGTGTATATACCTTTGGGTACTATACACTGACCTGTTAACAGAGTTTGAATACAAAGACTGTGGATCGACCACTGAGCAAAAAAGAAAATTATTTAATATTCACAAGTCAATAGGCCCCAAATACTGGATCAGTTTCAAACAACAGAACCCCCAGGTATGAATGTGAGCTCATCTTGTGTTAGCCAGGAGCCATAAGCCCATCTCTGCAGGCTACCTTGCTCCTTTGGTGCAGGAATCAGATTTCTTGGTGCTTTTGGCTGACCACTGCTGTTCTCTTGGCACAGGTTCTTTAGAAAACCTCGTTAGCCGTGTGCAGTGCAGTGTGGGAGCTATACCACCCAAACAGGGCTATAGGAATGTGCGAGATATAAAGCTTAACCAAGACATATAACATTAGACACACTCGCGCGCACACACACGCACGCACTGTAACAATCTCAGCTTCACCTACCTTTGATCAGACAATTTTAATGAACCAGATAATTAACAACACAGATAATTTGACAAATTACAAAAGCTTTTCTTACTAGATAGAGTCGGATACACGTTCACAATTTGATTGTTGTAACAAAGATAAAACCAACTGCAACATTATGCAATTGCCAAGTTAGAGGATTTGCATTCACCTTTCAGTTTGCAGGTCAGTGAGGACATTATCATATAAAAACACATAAACACACGGACTTAACCCGTGCATATAGCCAGATATTGATATACACCATCTTCTCAGGATGTGAATAAATAGAGATGCTGCAATAATAACCAGTGTAAACTGATTTCTGCTCAGTTTACAGTGCAGGAATTGAGTTTGCACACCAAACTAATAGAAATGTGATTTACCAGCAATAAATATCAGCAAACTGATGTTACTTTTAAAAATAGGGTGTATTCAAAAGCGTCGATACGGATTACTGTTTACACAGAAGATGTTACCGTCTTTAGTTGACCACAGACTGGAGGGTCACGGCGTTTTGGTTGAACCTTTTACTAGTCCTGTGGCAGGCAACACCAGGACCCGGCTCTCAGTTTACAGTGTAAGCAGCACTAATGTGTGTACAGCACTGACACGGAGAGGTTGCCGTAGTGTGCTTCCCAATGTAGCCACTCAGTCTGGTTGCCTTTTACCAGTTAGGCCAGACCTGTCCTGCCTGCTGTGGTGGTCACTATAAAAACGTACTGTTAACACCTATTCACAATAACGTATGTGGCCAGATTTTCTGTTCCCATCCCCCAACAGTTGACAATAACACGTCCAACATGTCTCATAGGAAGAAAAACTCCTCATATGTCGAGCTCACCCCTCTCCGGTTAATTCCAAGTGTCGACCCGCAGTCGCCGTTTGCTGCCTGCTGGAGACACAACCCGAACGTTTTGCGGAGAAAAACAGCTCTTCAGTCCCTTATTCCCTCCGGATACGCTCTCGTTTCCGTCACACTAGCAGACCAGGATCATCGCAAAATACATGTGTAGCTTCTACGTAACCTAATCTGTGTGCTTCCGTGACACAAGCAGTTTCTGCCATTTCATACCAACGTCGTCGAAAGCTTGCGATGTTTCCTCGGCTGCACAATGAGAAGCAGGGGGCCGTTCAAGATCGCCTGCGCGTTCCCGGCAGCCGCTTTGAGAAAGCGGAAGCGACCTTTTTGCAACGTTTTCAAATCACACAAGCGGGTGATGAGATATTTAGCAAAGATTTATAGGTGTGTTCAAAAATGTCTTACAATACATACATAAATATATACAACCTAATCAAATGTTATACAAACGACTTTTTATGTAGCATATAAGATAGCAAGTATGTTTTTTTTCTATTTGCTGTTAAAATTGCAATAAAAGTGGGAACTCACATTCTTGTATACATACACATTCTTGTATACATACATTTTAATAAGTTATAGGTTGGCTAATGTACCCTACAACCTTTGTATGTAGTACAATTTCATTTGGTACATACATTCAGTTGCCAGTTTATTGAACTAGCAAAAAGTAATGCAGTTTTATACAACAATCATGCAGTAATTTAGGCTAAAACAGGCTAAACATTATAAACTTCATGAAGGTGGAATTTATTGCAGAGCTGCGGCATTAGACTGCAATACTTTATTATTATATTAGATTTGAATGAACATTATTTGCATTGTGATGCCGACCACAATAATCAACATGGGTTATTTCAAACCCAATAATCAGCACAGACACCATTGATAAAGGAGCGTGCAAGCATAATCATCCTGCACATACCTGTTAGTGTCAGTCACAGAAATGAGACATTTATTTATGAGACTTTATTCAAGTCAAAAGGCATAAAGGTACAAATAAATCAAAATTATTCTCTGTGGGTCCTTTGTTCATGATATGCTGGACCACTTTAAAACCCACAATACTTGTTAATGTTGTGATTATAAGCATTGAAATGTCAGGATGCTCAATTTTTACAGTGGTGGAAAGTTACTTGATGCATTTACCTAGGTGCAAGTAGTGTACTTCCATTTTATGCGACTTAATAGTATATACTGCTCCACTGCAGTTACCAGACAGCTAAGGTTAGTAGCTACTTTTCAGATTTTATATTAAAAAAAAAATCAATCCTGTCCTGTTAATGAACCTCTCCTGTACCAGTGTTTAAATTTTATCACAGGTGTGAAATCCAACCCTTAAGAAAGCTTGTGCTGGCGGCAGGAGGTCACATGCAGGCGTCACCTTGACATATCTTCCACAGGTCAGTGTGTTAATTATTCCTTGGGCTGTAAAGGGCAGAGGCGTAAATCCTGGTTACATTACAAGGCCTCTCTTGAGGATGTGGCTGAGGATGAAATGGTGTGTAAGCATATTCTGTGTGGTATGTGGACAAGAAAACAGTACAGTACTGTAACATTTAAGGATGTGAATTCATGAGACTTTATACTCATAGACCACTACATTACATTTCAGAAGTCACTTTTTACTTCACGTCTAGTTACACACACCTGTAAGACCTAGAAAAGTAATGTGGTAATTTTTCAATTTTCCAAAAGTCACATTTTTAGATGGATAACTTCTGAATATTTCTACATTGTGTTTTTCTAACTTTTTTTAATTCCTTAATCATCAGGCCACGTGGATGGATACATGGCATGTTCCCTAACATCTGGTTATTCACCAAGCCGTGTGTACTTGCCAGTCGAATGTGTGTTAATCTATGTAATCTAATAGAAAGTGGGACAAATAATGTGTCACTTGTGGTTGAAACATCAGATTAACACAGTGCCGCCTACAGTGGATTGGTCCTTTGCTGCCCCATCTGCTGTTAGCTTGCCCTGCAAATCCAATTATGTTCTTATGCTCCCTCATCTAAAAATAGTTGAAAATGAAGGAAAACGCAGAAACAACACATCAATAGTTGTGAGCGCGGAGCAAGTGATGTTATGAAGCTGATGTGTCCTTTCTGTGGAGACAAATGATCTGTCATGAGGAAGTGAGGGCGTGTGACAAGCTGCCATGACGGACAGTAGCACTTGGACGAGGGAGAGACGTGTTGAATGGCAGCAGTGGATGCATAAGAGGAAGAAGGATTAGGTGCAGAGTGGCTGGATGTCTGAAGGAACATAAGAGGAATCTCTTCAGCTACCAGATGAAATAAGGTAGGCTACATAATGTGTGAAAACTAAATGATAATATTTGAAAATTACTCATCAAAGCACCTGTTCAGACATCTGTGTTTGCAGACACAGTGGTGACAGGGGCACGAGGTACAGCGTACTTTATGTACGCTGCTGCTGCTGCAACAATACAGTTTCCGTCTAGAAACATTGAATGAAACTGAATGGTGGCTCTTTGCAACAAAGCGTTTACTCAAATTTACGCAGAGTAACTTTGAAGCAGGAGGAAAAGAGCCTGCATGTTCATTCAGGATTCCTCTGGAGAAATCAAGGTATCAAAACAGCCCAAAGTAACAAACACTTAAACCTGGTTAATAACATTTAACACGCTACAAATACAAAGACTTTTTATTATCTGGTGGGGTAAAAATACTTTTTATGAATTTAAAACACAGTTCTCATGATTAGTTTTTATAATCAAAGCATTTTTTTCATTATTGCCAAATTAACTGTTACACGTTGGTATAATTTACTTATATTAAAGTAATAGGTCTAGCCATTTTGACATGTCACAGTAGGAAAAGCACAATAATAAAACAAATGTTGGCAGAATTCCATTTAGCTGCTTCAGTTTCAGGATCCTTGTGTTGTTTATGCTGGTTCACTGTCACACTGTCACGGCTCACTGGGACACATGAACAGATCAGAGTCATCTTTCTGCTATGAACTCAAAATGTTTGCTGTGAAAAAGGTCTATACAGATTGTTGACCTTTAGGGTTGGCCATCTTGAATTAAATCATAGTACCTGATTAACAGAGCAGGGTCACTTGGCAATCTGCCATGTGACCTGACATGCCACAATAAGCAGGTCTGCTTTCAGTAAGTGTTTTAATTCTATTAATGTGTCAGAAAGGTCACAGAGTGAAATGTGTGCAAAGCTGTGTGCCTACACAGTGTTAACAGCAGAAACGCTAGCAGCACTGGTTGCAATATTACATTCAATTCAATTAAAATGAATGAAAGGAAGTAAAGTGATCAAGGCAGAAAACACCAACAACGTGCTTCCGTTCTGACTCCTCTTATCCTCTAATATGAGAAAGAACAAGATAATTACAATGAGATGCTTCCTGGAGGCTACCACACCAACATCCGGACGTTAATCTGATTGTCAGACAAATAATGAAACTCAGGTTGCTGGGGTTACGGAGAACCACGTTAATACCTCAAAGCGTTATTTTAATCTGGTTATTCACGTTAGCAATTACCAATCAAATTAATACCACAATGGCTTGATGCTGCAAGAAAATCTTCAGTCAAAAGTTTTCTTTCTGTCATTGAGAGGACAATTAGCCGTCAGCCTACATTTTATCCACCGTCTTCCATCCGCCATCATGAAAGAGTTCCCTCAATTTGCAAACTTTCTTTTTTGTGCCATAAAGAAATAATACTGAGTTCCCTTCTAATCATCGAATACAGAAAACAGGGCTGGTGTTGTATTTGTTTATGGTGATAATAGTAATTCTTATACAGACAAATACTAATATAAAAACTCTAATCTACAGCTAATAGTTGCTCTCAGGTTAAGTGTGTTGTGCATAACACTGCTGAAGTGATGAAACACTGCAGACCTCCCTTGAATTTAACATTAAAAGATTGACACTATGGTCCATTACAAATCAATACTGTTTGGCTATTTCAAAAGAAAATGTGTGTAATATTACATCTGGTAAGCCTTAATCTCCTTTGTCTGTTACATATGCATTCAAAGTCTTCTATTTTCCCCTTGGCGACTTTGTCTGTGTCGTTATGCTGCTTATGTTATGAACTACACCACCGTATTTGGAGGTACAGCCTACACTACTACAACTCAATTTGCTACCAACTTATGTCAGTTGTAAGTTGTAAGCCAACTATGGCCAAAACTGTTATCACGATAAAAAAAGTTGATATCATTCAATATCGATAATTATCATGATTTTTATGATTTTTAGTTTACATTTTTAGTTTAAGAAACAAGATGGCTATTGTGTTTTAAACTATTATTTATGGTCAAACGCTTGATGTGAAACAATGGATCACTTTACACATCTGAGGTAGAACATTCAAAACAATTTTAATGATAACCACTTTTTTTAAGTTCAATCTTTTTTCAGTTCTTTTTCTCAACAAAATAAATATCTTAATAGAAAAATTAAGTGCTGATTTATGTGAGATTCAAATTAAAAAAAATCAAACTTGAACATTTATTATAATGTTATTGAGGAAAATTGTGATTATTGGCACATTAAGACACATGCCTTTGGTGTGAGAGACCCGGGTTCTAATCCACTGTGAGACACCAATGTGTCCCTGAGCAAATCAATTAACGCCTCCATATATAACAATTGTAAGTCCCTTTGGATAAAAGCGTCAGCTAAATGTTTTATCGTTATTGTTATAATGCCCAGCCCATAACTCAACCATTGCGAATATCTACTATTTTCATCAGTAGTAAGAGATTTACAAGAACAAGCAAATGAAACCATTACTTATGATCTAAGAATGATACAAGCCCATGTTTTGTTTTACTCAAAAGCTATACTGTCACATTTATTCTTTATTACCTGGTTATGTTAGATTTTGATTCTCTTCTTTAGATAAAGCCTATTTAATCACTATTCATTATACTTATATACTAAACACCAGGCTCAACCGAACATACCGAAAAAATATCCAACATAACAAACAACAAAAAACAAATTGTGTGTGTATTTTTCTCAAGCTTTAAAAACTAAAACTGCAGCTTTCTGTGATCTCATAGTTATTAATATGGTAAAGACAAAATGTGAAACTAGTTTTTGATAGGAAAAGTATAAAAAACAAATAACAGACAGTTAATTTCACTAATCCTTAATCTTATCTGTCCTCAACAATGCCAACTTCTGACCTTAACGTTCACTGAGTCTGACGTACTACTCAGTAGGATTCTAGTCCATTAGGGCAGTCAGTCCGTCTGTTAAGA